TCTCCAATACATAAAAAAACATTAGACACAACCGGACAACAGTGGTTAGGCTTCATATAAATATATTTTAAGTTTTTATCGAAATTATTGCTATGGCAATGGGTTGTGTGTTGAGATTTTATATCGCATGTTCTCTTTGATTCCAGGAGATTTGAACGGGCATCAGGGAGCCGCTATCAATAAACGGGAATTTTAGGTAAAAATTTTTTTAAACAATTCAGCGCAACTCCAAAAGGAAGGACACTTTGTGGCAAAAAAAGAGTTTGTTCACAGTATTTGTATTTATTCAAGACATTGTGATATCGGTTTCAAAAACTGAGCACTGAGATGAACGAACCTGTCTTGGAAAGTGCACAGTACCAGAAAAAAAAAAAAACAAAAAAAAAAACATAACATTTCTGGACTTAATATTAAGATAAATAGGCCTACATAAAATTAAGAGAAATACATAAACACTCATAATACATATGCTCTTTTGTCCATTCCGGATTAAATGAGGTTTTACGTTTCGGCATTTTAACGTTATGATATGATAGGCGTAGTAGCTAGCTGTCACGAACTGCTCTGAGAAGAGGGTTAAGATCCAAACGCAGCTTTATTTGAGGGCAATCCAGAGGCATAATCCAATGTACAGGCAAGGGTCATAAACAGATAGGCAGTCCAAAACAGATAAACAAAGAAACAAACAAAACAGGCAGGGACCAGAGGCAAGAGAGTAATCCAGGGAACAGGGCAAGATATCCAAAACCAAGAGACCAGAAAACCATAGGAATGCTCAGAATTGCAGTGTAACACTTAAACAAGACTTCGCGGTGAGTGACTGAATGAACATGGTATATATAGCCAGACTAACAAGATGAGACAGGTGAATGCAATAGTGAATGAGGTACAGGTGAATGTGATCAGTGATGATGAGTCCGGGCAGTGAGTTCTGGGAACTGTAGTTTGTGTGAAACATAGTCTTATCTGGAGTGCCCTCTGGAGGCTCAATAGGGCACTCCAGCTGGTAACTGTTACACTAGCACATGGACCCAGCTAACAGGGAACGTTCTCAGAACTTTGGCTAACATTCCCTAGAGGTTTGGTTAATGTTTTAAATAAAACATTTAAGTGTAATGTTTAAAGAATGTTTTAAGGATGTTTTCTCATGTCAAAAAATGTTCCTATAAGGTTAAATGTAAACTAAGATATAACACTTTCACTGTAACATTTTGAGGATGTTTTGGGAATGTTGTTGAGATAACAGATTATACAATGTTCTCAATAAAACATTAGCACAATGTCTCATAATAACAGAGGAGGAACATTATCAAATCAACGTTCGCAAAATGTTTTGAGGATATTATTTAGGCCTGAGATGATGGAATGTTTTTTATAAAATGTTCTTGTAATGTGACGTGTTAACAAAACTAGAACATTGTCACTGTAACATGTTGAGGATGTTTTGGGAATGTTGTTGAGATAACAGATATTACAATGTTCTCTATAAAACATTGGTACAATGTCCCATAAAAACAAAGGAGGAACATTATCAAATCAACGTTCGCAAAATGTTATGAGGATATCATTGAGGCCAGAGATGACTGAATGTTTTTTATAAAACGTTCTTGTAATGCGACGTGTTAAGAAAACTAGAACGTTTTAAATTTAACATTTTGAGGATGTTGATGAGGTAAAGGTTTGTAGAATGATCTCTTATAAAACATTGAAACAATGTTCCATAATAACAGAGGAGGAACATTATCAAATCAACGTTCGCAAAATGTTTTGAGGATATTATTTAGGCCTGAGATGATGGAATGTTTTTTATAAAATGTTCTTGTAATGTGACGTGTTTAACAAAACTAGAACATTTTCACTGTAACATGTTGAGGATGTTTTCGGAATGATGTTGAGATGACAGATATTACAATGTTCTCAATAAAACATTGGTACAATGTCCCATAAAAACGGAGGAGGAACATTATCAAATCAACGTTCGCAAAATGTTATGAGGATATCATTGAGGCCTGAGATGATGGAATGTTTTTTGATAAAATGTTTGTAATGTGACGTGTTTAAACATTAACACTGTAACATGTTAAGGATGTTTTGGGAATGTTGTTGAGATAACCGATATTACAACGTTCTCAATAAAACACTGAAACAATGTTCCATAATAACAGAGGAGGAACATTATCAAATCAACGTTTGAAAAATGTTTTGAGGATATCATTGAGGCCTGAGATGATGGAATGTTTTTATAAAACATTCTTGTAATGTGACGTGTTAACAAAACTAGAATGTTTTAAATGTAACATTTTGAGGATTTTGATGAGGTAAAAGTTTATAGAATTGTAACGCTTAGCCTTAAGGCAGGATACACCACAAAATATACAGTTTAAACCCTCTATAAATTCTTTAAATGAAATTGTTCTATTTGCTCACACCATAAACACAACAGAAAACAAGATGGTATAATACCTCAAAGCAGAGCCGGCTTCAGACCGCTTTTAGCAGGGGGGCATTTATTTTCAATGGGTGGGCACTAGGTAGGTATGGGGACTTTTTTCCGATATTAGATATCCTATATTTATTATTGCTACTGCCTTTTCTGTTAGCTATTAACATGAAGTAATGCAACCCACACAATAAACACATAAAACATTACACATTGTTGCAAGACGAGCGACTCTTAAGAAATTTGATCAAGGGTTAAATAGGCCTATACAAAAAAAAATTGCAAGACCGACTCTGACCACAGCTTTATAATAGCAAAGCTAACGAACATGTACACAGTCTCTCACTGACAGAATAGCCGTTTATATGCTATCTCAATGGCGGAAGTGAGAAAAAAAAAAGCTAAGTTACTCATCTTTATTCTGCTATGTTCTAACATAAGCATTTACATTCGTAGCCTTAAAAAAGCATCATGTAGTTACCTTTATCAAATAAAACCTTTAACACCTTTAACAAATAAAAAACACCCACACAGATATTATTCTACAATTTCCATTTACAAGAAAATATAGGCTTAAACACCTGTTTCTCCACGGCGGGAGTGAGTGACATTTCAGGACAATGGGCAGCGCAAAAACTAGGCCAACTAAACTATTAGTTTCATCACGTGACAACACATAGTGAACATTACAGTACATGCCAGTTAGATAAATAGCTACACTTACGACTCGGACTCGACTGTCTTTGGTCTCGGTCTCGACTACAACACTGCACGGTAGAAGCACCAAATACCAAAGCCGGGCTGTCGTTGTCGTTGTCTTGCTGTATGGGGTAATCGATGTGTAAGGAGAAACTGTGGTATTGAACCATTTTCTAATTTCCATTTTTGGAGAGTTTTCATCTGTTTACTTTGTTTTGAATGCAGCCAGGAAGCTCGTGCGGTCGCGCCAACTGAAAATCATTTCATTCAAGTATTAACGTGCGTGATTGGGGGGGTGGCAGGGGGGTTTCCTCACAGCATCACACTGGTTTTTATGTTGGCTTTATTGTATTTTCAGCTAATGAGCCGTTTGTAGACATATATTTGTACTATTTCTCACTGAAATGTGAATTAAATTACACTGATATTATTTTTGTAAATTATATCATAATTCAATTTGGGGGGGCACAAAATACATTTGGAGGGGCATTGCCCCCTAATGCCCCCCCATAGCGCCGGCACTGCCTCAAAGTGTATTAAATACAAAGCACCAACACCAACAATCAACATCTACAAACTATGAAATAAGTCCAGTGAGTGTGTGAGTGTTCCAGTCCAGTGTAAGTGTACGTGTTGAATCGGGCTCACCGGTAAGCCTTTTAAAGTCCGTGCACTTGACGAGGAACAGCGCTTCAAGTTTACCACATTCAATATATCGACTCTAGGTGGGTTGCCCCAGCTCACAGTGTAATTTATTGGCCCTGTTTTACTTTTAATTTCAGTTTTGATCCAAACCAGGTCACCCGTATGAAACTGCGCATCTTTCCTACGGTTATTATAATACCTAGCTTGTTTGGCTTGGCTCATCCTCATTCTATTCCTCACTCCCTCCATCAAGTTGTTTTGTCGTTCGACCAGGGAATATGCTGCTTGGTCAGGTGTAGGCGGTCGATGGATAAGACGTTCCAGTGGTCCTAGAATTTGTCTACCCAGCATGAGCACAGTAGGAGTTTTTCCTGTGGTTTCTTGTTGAGCAGTGTTGATGGCATAGCGGAATTCTGGTAGCCACTGGTCCCAGTTCTGATGATGTTGACCCACATATGCAGCAATCATAGTTTTTACGGTCCGGTTGATTCTTTCTGTTAGGTTTGACTGTGGATGATAACTCGTGGTGAGTTTCTGAACACAACCCCATGTTTTACACAGATCGCTCAGAAGGCTGGACGTAAATTGGGGACCTCTATCGGACACCAGGTATTTGGGTACCCCCCATCGTGTAAAGATCTCCTCTCGTAGAATTTTCACTACTTTCTGGGTCTTGCTGTCTCTCAGCGGGAACATTTCCACCCACTTTGTGAAGTAATCAACAATGACAAGGAGGTACGTATTCTTACGTTTACTGGCAGGGAAGGGTCCCATTAGTCTTCAACTGTCCGAGATGTCCTCCAAGCGGATTATCATGGTAATAGTGCATGAAGTCAGTGGTTAATGATAGTGGTACTACCAACTGATACTTCTCTCCTTTCTCTTTCATAGGAGCTTTGCGGTACCATACCCCTTGGAGGTTTTCAAAGGTGATGGCTTGATCTTTGACTGATCGAGGTTGAATGTTAGATTGTAATTCAGTGATGGTATTGTCCAATTGTTGAGCTTTAGTAATTTCCTCCAGAAGAGTGAGGTAATGTAGACGCATGTTGGGAGGCTATGGATAGACAAGGGGCAACATCCGCATCAGGCATACCTGGGACCCGGGACAAAGCGTCAGGACCCATGTTGAGGCAGCCTTTTCGATGATGGACCTTAAAGTTGAACTGTTGCAGCCGTAGAGTCCAGCGAGTTAGGCGTGAAGAGGTTTTAGGGCAGTTGAATGCCCAAGCTAGTGCCGCATGGTCAGTGAAGACGTTGAAGGCTCTACCCTCTAGGTAATGTCTCCACTTTTCAACAGCCCACACCACTGCCAGACATTCCTTTTCAGAAGTGCTGTAATTCTTCTCTGCTCCAGTTAAGGTCCGTGATGCATAAGCCACCACCTTTTCTCCCTCCTCTGATTGTTGAGTGAGGATGGCGCCCAGTCCTACCTCACTAGCATCCGTGTGAACCTGGAAGTCTTTAGTGCTGTCTGGTTGTATTAACACCGGTGAGTTTTGCAAAGCTTGTTTAAGAGCATCCCCATACTAGCCTGACACTCCGAGGTCCACTCCCACTTAACACCTTTCTTTTTTAGGTGGTTTAAAGGGGCAGCGATGTCAGCGAAATGGGGTATAAACTTATGATACCACCCTGCCAATCCCAGAAATCTTTGCAAAGCTTTGATATCGTGTGGGATTGGGAACTCTGCAACAGCACTGGTCTTTTCTCGGTCAATCTCCACTCCCCTCTCAGAGACTATATGGCCGAGGAATTTGAGCTGTCGCTTGAAGAAGTGGCATTTCTTCATGTTCAACGTCAGGTTGGCTTGATTAAGTCTATGTAACACCATGTTGAGGTGTTGAACGTGTTGCTCTATTGACTTTGAATAGATGATGATGTCGTCAATATAAACGAAACAAATCTTCCCTCTTAACTCAGACAGAACTCTCTCCATCAGACGCTGGAAGGTAGCAGCGGCATTTCTGAGCCCATACGGCATAGACTTGAATTGAAATAGCCCCTTGGTGGTGATAAAAGCAGTTCTTTCCTTACTCTGTTCCTCCATCTCCACCTGCCAGTATCCAGACTGCAGATCCAAGGAACTAAACCAAGAGGCTCCTTCCAATGATTCAAGGATGTCGTGGATCAACGGCATTGGATAAGCGTCTGCCACTGTCTTGCTGTTCAGCCTCCTATAATCCACGCAGAACCTGTGTGAGCCATCAGGTTTGGGGACAAGTACCACCGGTGAAGACCATGGTGAGAAAGAAGGTTCAATAATATTGTCTCGCAACATCTGATCTACTTGCTCCTCTATAATTTGCTTTTTAAGAGGAGACACTCTGTACGCCCGGGATTTGAGGGGTATGTCATCTGATAAGGTGATTTTGTGTTGTACAATTGAGGTCTTACCCAGGTTGTTGGAGGTGATGCGGGGCCAGGCAAATATCAACTTCAACAACTCCTCCTGATTGTCCGAGTCCCATATAGTGCTCTCAGGGAGAATGGAGAACAGTTCTGGAAGCCTCCCTGTGGATGGTATCGCATAGTATAAATTCAGCTTTGCATCCCTATGAGGAAGATCTTGACCCTCTGGGATCACCGGACCTGTTGGCATCTGTGATGGCAAGAAAGAGTAATAGGCATTTCCTTTTTCAGATCTTAATCCATATCTGCCTCTTCCCACTTCCAGGACTGCTCCCGTGTCTCTCAGGAAATCCAAACCGGCAATAAGAGGAAATGCGAGGTGAGTGTCTTTTAGGATATAAGTATCCAAACTGCATTCTTGGTCATGCCATTGAATCCTAATCCTTTGCAGATCTCTGGACTGGTGAACTGTGCCGTCCGCCATTATAAACCTCTGTGGAGTGGAGGTAACAACTGATGGAATCTCACCTTTCAACTGTTTCCACAGGCTTTCTTGCATTAACGTGTATGTGCTACCTGTGTCTAATACAGCCTTCACTTCTTTGCCGTTCACTCTTACAGGCACCATCAGGAGAGATGACACTGGATGGGGTTGTGCTAGTGTCACTCCAGCCAGGTTTTTGTTAGAGGTACGTTCAGACGACTTCTTGTTGGTCTTTTCTTTACTGCTTTGAGTGCTGACTTTTTGCCAGTAGTCTTTGGCTCCCATGTGGTCCTTTTCCACCATAGAGCCAACCTTCACCAGCTGCTCAACCGAATTGACGGTTCCCCTCATACATCCTGCAACCCTGGGGTTGATGTTGTTGAGTATGCGATTTACTAAGTCCTCCTCAGATATATCTGGCTTCCATTTCAGACATAGGGCCCGGTAGTCATATGCAAAGTCCCTCAGACGTTGTTGTGGCTGTTGCACCATTGTCCTCAGCTTTTCCTCCACTTCTGAGAGGTAATCATCTGAAAGAAAAGCAGTCATGAATGCTTCTTTGAAGGATTTCCAATCCGTTACCTTGACCTTCTCCGCTTTCCACCAGCTCAGAGCAGGTCCCTTCAGCACCGTGCTTAAGGTTCCTAAGAGTTCTGCACTGGGGAGGGGCCGAATCTCCAGGAAGTTCTCACATTGTTCAATGAAATTGAGCACCTCCGCCGTATCACAGGAGTCACCAAAAGAGGGGAATTCGATGCGGATAGGAGCTCGGGCACAAAATGAGGATGAACCTGCCACTAATGAAGGGGTAAGCAGATTAGATTGTCTATCATACAAAGGATGTTGCACATCATAAGTAGCATTGAGGGGTGTATGAGTGGGAATTTTCGTTACAGATACTCTAGCTGGGGTCGGTGGTTGATGGACAGTGGAAAATCGGGAGGTATCTGAATAATGGGCCTGTAATCTGGTGAGTGTGGGAGTGCTAGTGAGCCTTAATTTTCTCATTTGACTTTCCCATTTCGCATCTCTCCTCAGAAAACAATTTGTCACAGCCCTTTCTAATTTTTCCAGAGCATCAGCAACATAATCTTCCAACTTTGCCAAGCTAGAATCTACAGCCTGCCTGAAACTTGTTTCCCGATTTAATGTACTGTCCATTGACTGTTTGAAATCTTGTTCTATGGTTTGTACTTTGTTATCAAGGGCCAATAAATCAACTTTACATTGAGTTATTTCTGCTTGCAATGATTGTACCATATCAACAGTTTGTGTACAACTCTCATCATCATCATCAGATTGTTCTGCATCAGAAAGGTACAATGAACTAAGCATTGAAGTTATTTCAGCAGTAGGATTACGTCTAGTCCCAAAAGAGACAGGAATACAAGTAAGATCTTTTGCTTCAGTATCATTTGGGACATTTTCAAATGTAACCAAGTCATCAGCAGTATCAACAATTTCGGTAACTGTATCAGTATTCCTCACCTCCATCGTGAGAAAAAAAAAAAACACAAAAAGAACAATAATAAAGGGTCCCCGTACGGGCCACCAATATGTAACGCTCAGCCTAATTAAGGCAGGATACACCACAAAATATACGGTGTAACCCTCTATAAATTCTTTAAATGAAATTGTTCTATTTGCTCACACCATAAACACAACAGCAAACAAGATGGTATAATACCTCAAAGTGTATTAAATACAAAGCACCAACAATCAACATCTACAAACTATGAAATAAGTCCAGTGAGTGTGTGAGTGTTCCAGTCCAGTGTAAGTGTGTGTGTTGAATCGGGCTCACCGGTAAGCCTTTTAAAGTCCGTGCACTTGACGAGGAACAGCGCTGTCCTGTGATGCGATCTCCAGGGTAAAATAATCCACAAGTATATTTCCACAAAGAGTTCAACAATCGCAGTCAATGACAACCCAAGGAGTAGTGCGATCGATCGCTAGTCCCAAAAGAGCAATGTTTACGTTGCTCTCGAACGCCGCTTTCCCGGCTCTTTTAAACGGAAGTAAAAGTCATTAACCCCGCTGATCAGACTGACGTCACGGGGATTCCCTGGAGCTCCGCGACGGAACTCTCGCGGTAAAAACCAGGAACACAATCACATGTCCGGGGCATCAACAGAGAAAGAAAAAAAACAGCTGTCTGGTAAGCATCATACAAATACTTCACAGCAATATAAATATTCTTTCCTTATGTGGCCTAGCTACAGAATGATCTTTTATAAAATATTGAATGTAGGCCTACCATAATAACAGAGGAAGAACATAATCAAATTAACGTTCGCAAAATGTTTTGAGGATATTATTTAGTCCTGAGATGATAAAATGTTTTTAATAAAACATTCCTTTAAATTGACTTTTTAACAAACATTTTGCATGATACATTTTGAGGATTTTTTGTCGAAATGTTGTTATCTTTTGTAAATCATTGGCACAATAACAAAGGAGGAACATTATCAAAGCAACATTCATCAAATGTTTTGTGGACATTTACCTGAGATGACAAAATCTCATAATATATGTTAACAAAAGCTCATAAAATTGTAAGGATATTTTACGGAAGCTGTTTAGGTAACAGATTGTAGAATTATTTTAACCTATAGAATAATGGCATAATTTTCCATAATAAAAGAGGAACATTGTCAAAACAGCATACATAAAGTGTTTTGAGGATATATTAGGCTACTCTGAACTGAACTGTTGCGACAAATGCGTTTACAAGAGATGAGAAGCTGATTGGAGTCGCTGTAGATCGACGTTTAAAACCACCAATCACAGCGCGATGTTCCCATGACGTAAGAACATTTGAACTCGACAAACAGCGCAAATAGACCCCTTCAATGTTTGTACACATTGGAATCCTCTGTTGGGTGCGCGCGCAGCATGGGGTCAGAAAAATGGCGCGGCTAATAGACCAGCATGATATTGTGTCAAGTTATGCACTGTCTTTGAGGTCTTCACGGGTCCAAAAACTCATGCCCGACCCGAAAGAGACCCGTAATGTGCTACACCGAACCGACCCGGACCCGTCGTTCATTTCAAAAGTTGGACCCGGACCCGTGCAGACCCGAGAAATGACATAAACGTACTGCCCGGACCCGACCTGGACCCGTCTATTATTTGAAAACTGGACCCGAACCCGGCAGGAAGACACAAACCCGACTGGACCCGATTGTCACATATTATTTCACACGAGTTGCGAAAAATAAAACTTTTTGTCTTACCTAATTTTAGTAGCCGTCGTCTCGTTACTGACTGACTGATGCATTAATCCACCGACAAGAAAGTTCTATCCGTTATTTCTCTCGTTATTCCAAGCTTAATCCACTCATTATTTCAGCTTTAAAAGTCCACTTGATGTCACAGTGATGGATGACAAATGCAACCTTGCACATGTACATTCTGACTCGAGTTAACTCATAATACCTTTAACTGTTTGCCCTTTTGAATAACGATTGTTTGTTGCTTGTTCAGCTTGATCATATCTGTGCTCTCTGCTCTTCATTGAGTCTGAATCTGACCACCAAAACTTTAAGATTAGACAAGACGGTTCATTTATATTATTATAAAGAGATTATTGGAGAAAATGTAAAGCGCGGTTTGGCGGAAGCTCTGCTTTGGTTGCCATAGAAACATGACACGCGCTTGAGATTGCACTCCGATCGACGCGTATAATTACGTAGTTTGTGGGCATGTTCAGACGGTTTTATATAGCGATATAAGCGATGACTTTTGTGTGTTAAAAGCGGAGGTTTTACCGAGCCAGCGCCAGGGGAAAAAGACCTCTATACAAAGCCTGGGTCGTGATCAACAAGCGGGAAGCAAGGCTATCCATACTGCAAATTGCACCTGCATGGCAGGTTAACGTTAATTATTTATCATATTGGAGACGGATGCACTGTAGACTGATTGACTTGATGGTTATATTTCCCTAGAAAACTGTCACGACTAGGCTACTAATCACTTACCCAGCATCCGTCACCTTTCCTCCAGGGTCATTATTGCTAAACTAAACGTGTCTGTCATTTCACCAATTATCGCTGAGATGTGTGGAAATCGCGTCAGTGCGTGATGTAAAAAAAAAATAAAAATAAAAAATAAAAAAACTCATTAAGACACAACACACGGTTAGAACAAGCATGCACAGTGTACATAGCCGATGTAAAAAGACATAAAACAAAAATCATAGTAGGCATATTAGTATTTATCGTTAGTATTTATCACAAGTTAGTATTTATCGACGCAACAAGTAGGCATGTTGACGAGAAATTCTCCGGTAGCTGGTTTAAACTATGGTTACAGCACGATGGAATTAACTTTTCTGACCCCGACATGCGCACTGCGCACCGCATTTTTTTCTGTGACGTCAACCGTGAAGGGGTCTATAAAGCAACGTTTCTGTTGAAGGAATCGGCGCAGAATGTCCGTTGTCTAAATTGGCGACACATTGGCCCAAAACAACATAACTCCTGGTCAACGGAACTCTTTCACAACTGTAAGTTTTTGTGTGTATTTTTTCAGTTTACATAGCTTTCTCTTATCCTTGATGTCTTTCAGTATTAGACCTAACTTTCTACTTTCTTAGAATTGTATGACAGTCGCAATAAATCTGAGTGTATGCTACTTTTGAATAACAGCTAGATTTGTTTTAATGCAGACTCCAAACGGACTGTTTCAAGATGATTAACCGATGACACAATAAAGTCTCCATTTACAACCAAGGTAGCCTACTATAATACCGGTATTGTGTTCTATGCATACGAATACTGTATTTTTACTTAAAAGTGATCTTAATGTCTTTTGAAAGTAAAAGTTAATAATATTTCAGTAATTCATATAGAGGTTAACGTTAATGAATTGGAAAGAGCGTTTCTGGCTTCCTATGTGTCATATAACATTCTTCTTTCAGATGAATACTATCTGAGTTATATTTAAAAAATGTCCTGACTCTTCTGACTTTTAGAATGGCAGTGAATGGCCGTCTATCAAGGCGCATCCATCCATGATAAAAGTAATCCACCACATGACTCTGGCGGGGTTATAAAGCCCTTTTAAAGCGAAGCATTTGTGTAAGAAAAATATCCATTTTTAAAACTGTATTGGATTAAGATATTGGATATATGGATTAAGTAAGTTTTAAATTACAGAAACAAAAAAGATACTCATAATTTATCATATTTATACTTTCAATAAATTAGTCTTTACATAATTTCTGATTGCTAATTAGGCTGGCTAATTTTGAAAGATTTCAATGTCAATATTGCTTGTGATCTTAATGTATGTGTATTCTTTATGTTTACACTTTTGCATGATCTTCTTTTTTAGGCTATGAGGAAAAACTCTACCGTGCACACAGAGAACAGAGCTCAATGCTGCTAACTGGGGGAGCAGCTGGACAACTAGAAGAGAGAATAGTAGAACACTATTAACACAGATTCCTGGATTATTTTTCTGCAAGAACCACAACAAGCAAAGACTGATGATGAGTGCTCTGAGCAAACACCGGAGTCAAGACGCATTAGTGACTTTACTGAGTTCTTCATGTAATGTTGGGCATTTACTGTACGCAGAACTTCTAATAATTTATGTGGATGCCATTTATAAACCTGTTAGATTTTGATGTTTTAGTTTTGAGATTAATAAAATTTTATGCTTTAACAATGTTATAGCTAATCATTTTTGAGGGGTTTTAAGAGAACATTTTGGGAACAAAAATAAACTTCCGCTAAAAACTTTATAAGAAAGTTAGGGGATAATGTTTTAAAAATGTTATGATTAAACCTTTATAGAAGGTCATCACAAAACATTTTCAGAGTGTTCTTAGAGAATGTTATGCCATCTTTTAAGAGAACATTCTGGGAACAAAAAGAAAACTACCCGCTGAAAATGTTATAAAAACATTAGGGAATAATGTTCTAACAATGTTAGCAATAAACATATTCAAAATGTTTTTAGACAATGTTATTAGAACTTTTAACAGAACATTCTGGGAACAAAAAGAAAACTACCCGCTGAAAATGTTATAAGAACGTCAGGGAATAATGTTCTAACAATGTTAGCATTTAACATATTTAGAATGTTTTTAGAGAATGTTATTAGAACTTTTAAGAGAACATTTTAGGAACCAAAAGAAAACTACCCGCTGAAAACATTATTAGAACACTGCATGGTAATGTTCTCAGAACATATTTAGAACAAAAAAATTCTAGCTGGGGAGGCTTGTTTACTTTTTTAAACCAATGATATTTATTTGACAACGCTTTCAGCCAAAAAAAGCTGAAAAATGTTTGACCAGAGATCTTACGGCAGAGGCTATGCTGCTGCGTCTCAATAAAGATTCTAGAGTGTTTTTTTTTTTTTTTTTTTTTTTTTTTTTTTGCCGATTCAGATCAACTCCAAAAGTGCGTATCCGGTACAGGAGCCGCACGCGCTAAAGTGCTTTCACATAGCCTATGCTGCGTTTGCAGTGCGTGAGCTGTACCACAAACACTCGCTATTTTTATTTCAAAATCAGAAGTTATGCAGCAATAGCGTGACCAGTGACCAACAGTCCTGTTATCCCAGTCCTGTTTTCACGTCCTGTCCTGGCCGTTTTTTATAAAGTGATGTCCTGGTTTTCAAAACAAATAAAAATAAATAATAATAATAAAATAAAAAACCGCTGGAAAAGATCAGCTTTACAGCAAAATATAGGAGATGAGCAAACAAGGAGGATGAGGAAGAAAAACAGGATAAAGAGGAAGAAAAGTAGTTAGTTTTTGTACGTTTGTGAGAGGTATTTTTGTTCAATTTGAAGGTATTTCTTTTAGTTAATTACTATGTATATATTTATTTTTCTAATACAGAAGAGACATTATTTTTTAATCATTATTTCATTCATTATTTTTTAAACCTGTCATAATAAAACATCTTAAAACACATGTGTCAAATTTGACACAAAATGTGTTGTCCCTGAGCTGACTCAGCACATGTGTTAAAATTTAAAACATTGTGTGTTGTTTTTAACATATTGTGTGTTGTTTTTACACATGTTGTGTAAAAAACAACACATAATGTGTTAAATTTTAACACATGTGCTGAGTCAGCTCAGGGACAACACATATTGTGTCAAATTTGACACATGTGTTTAAAGAGTAGGCTATCTGAATTTGTGTCTTAATATAACAATTTTCTATCCACAGAGGAGGCATAGCCTATTTTAATTGTATTGAAATTAATAAGGCATCTTTGAGTAAACTTCGAGTATCATTTGTTTTCTGGGCCATGTGTCCTGGTTTTTGGTAATCAAAATATGTTCACACCATATGCAGCAACTTTTATTAAAATAAAAGTTTTGCCATGGCTTTGCGATTCTCTTTTACAAACTTGAATGGACGTATACTCGTTTAAACATGATTTAAACAACGAATGCATACAATTCCATGCATTACTTATATATTAAGATGTCTTAAAGTAAAAATATGAAACAATTAAATACCTTTATGGAGAGATTACTATATTTTATTGAATTAAATGTATTTATGGTGAAACTACATTTCGAGGTCAATCTGAGTTCATTTTGACCACGAACCGTGCGCTGTCACTTTATTTCTGCGTTTGCAGTAGGCTACAGCAGAAATAGACTCGGTACGGAAACGATCTCTACACTGCTGTATATGCACCGCAACTGGAACGGATCGACGGACTGCATCCGCGTGCAGTGTGCGTCAGGCACGGGCGTCAGGTTAGGTTACAGTAGAACGTCATGAAGTAGCAGTTAAAGTCGCGCATGCGCAACAGAACGCCAGGACGCCTTTGCTGTTCCACCGCTTATAGTCCCCGTCCCTATCACTGTAAACTACGGCTTCACTGGGCTTATTGCTAACTTTATTTCACCAGAATGCTTTTAAATACGTAATGCTATTGTGGTACAAATATTCGTTTCATAAAAATGCAAAAGTCAAAAAAGACAACAGAGGCTGCATTTTCTAAAGTAGACAAATTAAAATTATAAAAAAAAATATTTGTTTCTGTCTGTTACAAGTAGGCTAGCCATTAAAACACATCATCTCATCAAAGTTAGCTTTCAGAAGTACAGTCCTAATTGATATTTTACCTTCTGCCATATTCCAAAAAAAATTTAAAACATTTGAAGGTTTCCACATTTATGTTCCCCGTTCATCCGCTGGCATGATGCTGATAAAGCCGGCGTCCTTTTTCCACCTCAATCCTGACTCAGTGAATATGAAATCGAAAGTGAGTAGCTTGATATCTTGACTTGTTTTATGAAGCTCCTCCCAGTGTGTCCTCCTGTATGCGGCACTACATTTTATAAGTAATGCATCGCTTTCAGTTCCTCAGTGTGATCTGATATTTCGAACCTCTGCTGTGCGAAGATGATCTATCAGGTGCTTATTAATTTCAACGACAAAAAGAATAAACCGCTAGAAGTAGCAGACGATGAGGTCAAATTTAATAAAACCACCATTTTGGAACTGAAGAAGAAATTTAAAGAAAAGATACCTGGAGCACCAAGTAGGTTAAACTCTAGTTATTTTTATACTGTGAATTTAAATTAAAAGCAACATTTATTGCATATGACATTAGAACTTTTGAGCTGGAGATCAAATGTTTGAGAATGTATACCATGTGTTGATATTATTTTTTCCATGTTATCTATATAGATCCAGATGATGTCAGGGTTATCTTTGGGAAAGACCCTCTGGAGGATCACATGACACTTACGTTTTACAAAATTAAACATTTATCTGTACTTTTAATTGTCATGAAGATGCCTGGTGGAGGTATGTGTTCTCAACAGTAATACCTTTTTCTTTCTTTTTTTCTTTTCTTTTTTTTTTTTTTTTTACATAACCTATATATTCATTTCCTGTTTGTCTCTCTCCTAGATCTGTGTTCATGCAGACATGATGCATCCTAAAAACAATGGACTGAGAGGTTGCAAATCACCAAATCCAATCTAGTTTTAGATCTGTTAGTGATAGATAGTTAATTTTTTTTATTGTTGTAGTAGTTTGTTTATATGTTTTTGTGATAATATACTGCCTCTTTTGGGATTTAATTTTAAATAAATAAATACTTAAGACAGGCTACTTCAAAATGTAAAAATGCATCAAAAAGCAGCTCTTCATTTAGAAAATCAGTTCTTTGTACAGTGGTAATGCATTGCATGGATATGAACTGTAATACTCATTATTTAAGAACATTGTAATATATTAGTGAACATAAATGCCATTAATCCTCTCTAAAATGTCAGTGTTCTTGTAGAAGGGAATGCATTGATGACCAAAAACAAAACAAAAAACTTGGAAAGCATGTCTTAAAAAAGTTTGTATGTTGAACACAACAATAAACATTTGCTCCAGGGGAAATTTTATTTAGTCGTTTGTTTTTAGTTTTAGTTTCTCAGAAAAGAAAGTATTCATGATAATTTCTCCTTTATAAACATGAAACCTGTAGGTTTATCCAGATCCTGCACATTGAAATGAATCAGCGTCTTGGAATCATTGTTTAGATATTGTTTTAAATATTGTTTTATATTAGAATGTTGTTTTATTGTTTAGAAATTCAGGAGACTCTTCTTGTAAATAATGTGATTTTCAAACTTTCTTTTTTTTGTCTTAACTGTAAAGAGATTGTGAAAGTTTTCAAATAAAAGAGGAAGATGTAATGATTAATGACTTGTTCCTGCTCAGGCTCATGTTTGATTATTCCATGTTCTAAAAGGATACCTGAAGATGGCAGCAGTAAAAAATAAATAAGTAAAAAAATAAAGCACTAAAAATTGCATCAAAATTCCCATAATATGCAAATTACATAAAATAAGTATAAAATATATAAAAAATCCACAAAAGTAATACCTTATAGACTGGGCTGTGACACAGTAGGCACAATCACATACTCAACACATAAAATACATGTTATCTTACTGGATCCAAATAAAATATATTACAATGTTATGTATAATGTATATTAATGAGCATTACAGTTCATATTCAATGCATTAACACTGCACAAAGCACTGATTTTCTAAATGAAGAGCTGCTTTTTGATGCATTTTTACATTTTGAAGTAGCCTAACTGTGTAAATTATTAATTTATTTAAAATTAAATCACAACAGAGGCAGTAAATTATCACAAAAACATACAAACAAACTATATATATATATATATATATATATATTGGAAATTAAAACAATATTATTTCCTCTCTTCAACAGTAATTTTTTCTTCTGAGAATGTCCCAAAAAGAGTTTTAATTTTCTAGTTTTGGAAACCTTGTGTGTTTAACTTTCTTTAAACACACACACACACACACACACACACACACACACACACACACACACACACACACACACACACACACACACACACACACACACACACACACACACACACACACACACACACACACACACATACATTGCATTTCTTTTGGTCTCTTGTTTTTTTTACAGCTAGCTAAAAACTCAATTGTACAATTTTACAAAAATCTATCAAATGAGTTTTATCAAATGAGGACGTCCCTTAAAATAGGTTTTATCTGTTTTATAACTCACTAATTCTGTTATATTTATATTTATTTATATAATTCTGTTATAAAAAGCTGTTTGCACTGGGGTGATGTTCGGTATTTACCTTCCACGTCACATAATTTCATCTGAAAAGCCGTTTCACAATACACCACATTTTACTCGAGGGATATAGGGGAAATTTTGCTCATTCCTTTGTTTCAGTTTCTGTTTCTCAGAAGAGAAAGTTATGTTCATTGCTGCTCAATAACACTTGACCTGACACGTACTTCGAAACTCAAAGTACAAGATGACTGTGCTCAAACGAGAGCAGGACAAGGCTTAGTTCCTGGAAAAACTAATTGATCAACATGCTTTACATTCATGTAAAGCAGACACACCCTAAAAACACATGTTTACACCTGTTAAAAATAGTTTCATTTTCTCCAATAAGGTACTCTTCCTGAAATATATGATTTTGGAGATCATTAGTTAACATGAACTAAGAATAGTTAATATTAATTTCAACATTTACTAATACATTATTAAAATCAAAGGTCGTATTTGTTAGCATTAGTTACTGCACTGTGAACTAACATGAACAATCAACTGGATTTGTATTAACCAACATACACAAAGATTAACTAATAGTGTAACAAATGTATTGCTCACTGTTAGTTCACTTTTACTGACTATGGCAAAATAACCAGGTCTGTCCTAGTCATTATCAGCATAGTCAGACAGAATTATGATTTTATTATGAGTTTATTGCTAGATAAGAGATAACAATGGGATTGAGTCACATGATCTGTTCCAAATAAACAGCATGCTGTAGAGTAGGTCACACCCATACCATACACTTTCATTTTCTACAATAAAGAAACTCTTCTTGTAAATCGTGTGAGTCTAAAAGCAAATCATCTCTGCTTCTGTTAGGCCTGCACAGAGAACAGGAAATTGCGGTTTTTCTCGATTGCTTAAACACATGACATTACATTTTCAAAACAGTTAACATAGAATAAAACTGAAGCTCAATGGCCAAAATGACTAATTTTGTTTAGCAATGTAGAGTATAGACACACACTAATTATTCATATTCATTTGAATATAAAGGTTTACGAAACTCTCCCCCAAAGCTCCTCACAAATGAAGTTACTTTGTCGGCTGGGTGTCCGGTTACACAACACTTTAAGACTAAGAACAGACTTTTTACGACCTCAAAGGAATGTGGCCACATGCACCACATGCTTAAAGGACAACTCCGGCGCAAAATGAACCTTTGGTCTAATTACACATTGCTACCTAGTCAACCGTTATCTGAGATTTGTTTTCATGATTGCTGAATGTAAATAGTTTTATCTATAAAAACAGTTTAGCCTATAATGCTAGTATAATGCTAGTATATAGGGCATAGAGTAATGACAAATAAAAATCGCTTTTTATTACCACTAACAAGGCTCAAAATAGCCCCACACTAACACGACAGCATAATAAGGGTCTCTACATTCAAACCGAAGCATTGAGAACTTTGTCAGTGTCCAAACAGTTTAATAAGAAGATATTTTATACACACAGTCAACTTCCCGAATACAGGAAGAAGCCATCTTTGAAAAATAGTCTCTACCAGTCGATCTACGAACGCCGATCCATGTCCACCGGTGAGATGTGAATAAGGTGATAAGCTGAGCGCGAACAGTAGGCTACGTGTACATACTGAAGAGAAGAAAACGGTTCGTGTTTGTGTTTCTTCCGGAAACAACGGACCATATGAGATTCTGCACAGTTCAGCGCACTTGGATCAATGTTCGTAGATCGACTGGTAGAGACTATTTTTCAAAGATGGCTTCTTCCTGTATTCGCGAAGTTGACTGTGTGTATAAAATATCTTCTTATTAAACTGTATGGACACTGACAAAGTTCTCAATGCTTCGGTTTGAATGTAGGGACCCTTGTTATGCTGTCGTGTTAGTGTGGGGCTATTTTGAGCCTTGTTAGTGGTAATAACAAGCGATTTTTATTTGTCATTACTCTATGCCCTATATACTAGCATTATACTAGTGTTATAGGCTAAACTGTTTTTAGAGATAAAACTATTTACATTCGGCAATCATGAAAACAAATCTCAGATAACGGTTGACAAGGTAGCAATGTGTAATTAGACCAAAGGTTCATTTTGCGCCGGAGTTGTCCTTTAAGAGACAGAGAGACAATGGGAAAAGAGGACAGATATTTAATACAGACTTTGCTGAATCAATAGTAGACTAACTAAATGAACATGCATTGTGTAAATTATTTAATGTCTTGTGTACGATTATGTAAGTGACTTGAAGCACTTCAAGGATTCCCACTTCAACAACCTCCGCCAGTATACAGAAGGGTTTGCCGATTGACTTCGTCTGAATGAGAGGTAAATTCCTTCTATCTTTGGAGACGACGAACAGAGCATTTCCATAAGCTGTAAATATCGTTAATAAAAGTCAAGTCAAGTCAAGTCACATTTATTTATATAGCGCTTTTCACAATACAGATTGTATCAAAGCAGCTTCACAGTGATAACATGTAAGTAGCACAACACAGATCAACAACATTGCTAAACACTAAATAACCTCAACTGAGCAAGCTCAAAGCAAGCCAAAAGCAAGGCGACAGTGGCAAGGAACCAAAACTCCATCAGATTGGATGGAGAAAAAACCTTGGGAGAACCCAGGCTCAGTCGGGGGCCAGTTCTCCTCTGGCTTACATTCATATTGTTTAAATATAAATATTAAATATAAATATTGTTTATGAATCAAACGGCGCCATAACATATCGCAGGCGTTGAGTCGTCTCATCACAGGCGTTGAGTCGTCTCATCACAGGCGTTGGGGCATCCGAAATCCCCGTGAGAGGCTGGACACAAAACTGGACCTGACGAACGCCATTTTTCTCGGGACAAGCGTCCCGAGATAACAGCAGAAAGGCAGATGGGAAATAATTAGCATAGCTGATGTTCATAATAATTTCCGTTATAACTCACAAACTCTCCGTAACCCGAACTCTCCGCAACCCAACCATACGCGCCGACCCGTTTGTCTAAAAGGCTGTCGAGCCCCACTGGTGCGTTAAGCAGTTTCAGTGGCAAACGGTTCCGTATGGCATAACAGAGGACTAGAAGGTAAGCATTATGTGAATGCTTGACTAAAGAGATGCGTCTTAAAATAAAGTACTTTACTTTCTTAAAACACATGGTGGTCATGGTTTAGCAGTACCGGCTTTGTCTTTCTTTGTTTTTGTTTTGAAGTAACGTTACACGTCTGCAGTATTATTGTTCTTGAGTTTCATCAATGCTCATTTAGCTGCTTTTCTAAACGTATCATATTATCAATATAGATTTTTAGTGGTAAGATTAGACTGTAGTCATTTATCTTGTCAGTGTGCTTGTTTTAACAAGAGAAGTAGTCGACTTTCACCAATAACACTATACAGTTACGTACCACTGCATCCATATGAAGACGTTGTTCTGCAGGTTCGTCATCATCTTTATCAACTGGCTCGAATATGTAAGGCTATGAATATGTATATATGTATCCTGACACATGATATGTACCCTTTAAAGGGTTAGTTCACCCAAAAATGAAAATTAAGTCATTAATTACTCACCCCCATGCTGTACCAACCCCGTAAGACCTTCGTTCGTCTTCGGAACACAAATGAAGATATTTTTGATTGAATCTGAGAGCTGGATCAGTCCTACATAGGCTTCATAAGGGACTGGCTCTTGACGGCCCAGAAAGTCATTAAAGAAAAGGTTTAAATATTCCGTGTGCCTACAGCGGCTCAATTATAAGTTTATCAAGCGACGAGAATACTTTTTGTGCGAAAAAAACATAAATAACGACTTTATTCGACTATTCCATTACTTCCTTATGGGCCTTGAGACGAGAATTGAAGAGATTTCCAGAACGCATGTGCGAGAACTGAGATGAGGACGTTCTTCTTCTACTTGTTACCGGCTGCTCACCGCTTAGGAGTTTTACCGCCACCTACCGTATAAGATGATGATCTATATATAAGGCGCTCCGGATTGTAAGGCACACAGCACTGTCGTATTTGAGAAGATTAAAGGCTTTTAAGTGCGCCTTATAGTGCGGAAAATACGCTAATTGAAACGCGTATGTACAGCGCGCATCTTCCTCTGCTTGTAAACAGAAAGTTTTGCGCTTCCAGCTAAATCAGCACATCATCTTATACGGTAGGGGGCGGTAAAACTCCTAAGCGGAGCAGCCGGTAACAAGAAGGAGATGAAGAAGAAAGTCCTCGTCTCAGTTCTCGCACATGCGTTCTGGAAATCTCTTCAATTCTCGTCTCAAGGCCCATAAGGAAGTAATGGAATGGTGGAATAAAGTCATTATTTATGTTTTTTTTTTCGCACAAAAAGTATTCTCGTCGCTTGATAAACTTATAATTGAGCCGCTGTAGGCACATGGGATATTTAAACCTTTTCTTTAATGACTTTATGGGCCGTCAAGAGGCAGTCCCTTAGGCAGTCTATGTAGGACTGATCCAGCTCTCAAATTTAATCAAAAATATCTTCATTTGTGTTCCGAAGACGAACAAGGTCTTACGGGGTTGGTACAGCATGGGGGTGAGTAATTAATGACTTAATTTTCATTTTTGGGTGAACTAACCCTTTAAGTTCTGCCAGGAAGACTCATTTGCAACGTCACTTATTACCTTCTTATCTATCCAATCATGTCTAATACTTGTGGTATAAAAGACCGGTACTTAAACATGTTTGAGTTCACAGATGCTGACGCTTCCATTCATGCTCTTGTTCAGTCGCCAGCCAACATGTTTCAGGACACGCATATTGTGTACATTTATCGAGTTCCGACGATGGATATGTCCCGCCGTATCTCCTGCTGCATGTCGAGGCTCCCGCTTTCAGTGCACTGCAGTCTTCAGAGAGTTTTGATCAACCAAGGCCTCTCATGAGAAGTTCTGGTCCTCTAGGCCTAAAACACCCTGGGTAACCTATCAGTTTCCATTCTCGTGTCATTTAAAGCTTCAACAACGTCAGCTCTACCAGGATAATCTGACAGGAAGAGAACTGCAGTGTCATCCTCAACTCACTCGTCCACCAAAAGAACCTCGCTGTCTGCACGGGTGCCATTTATCCCACAGATCACCGATCCACCGACATCAATCAACAACTCTGCAAGTCACGAGAGGCGATCTTCTCTCACTGGTTTCAAGTTCAAGCTCCACTTCCAAGGCTTTCAAGTCTTCCGCCAGCCACTGTTCATATGTCCCCTCTACCATGATAAAACTTCATCCAGGTAAGTATTTCTATGTTGCTTCCTACACCAGCGGCCTACACAAGTTAAATTGGTGTCTACGGTGACGTGGTGTGTTCCTAATTACTGCTGATCAGCAGAGCCGGACAGCTCGCTTTAATGCTCGCAGCAAGTGTAAGCAAAGTTTAGCGTTACCGATATTGCACAGTCAAGTCAAGTCAAGTCACATTTATTTATTTAGCGCTTTTTACAATACAGATTGTATCAAAGCAGCTTCACAGTGATAACATGAAAGTAATACAACACAGATCAATAATATTGTTGAATATTAAATGTCCCCAACTAAGCAAGTCAAAAGCAAGGCAACAGTGGCAAGGAACCGAAACTCCATCAGATTGGATGGAGAAAAAACCTTGGGAGAACCCCGGCTCAGTCGGGGGCCAGTTCTCCTCTGGCCAATGAAGGAACAGTGATTACAAGACAAATTGGATTGAAACATTCAGAGAATTGTCCATTTCCATCTATTTGGAAGTCGAGGTAATCACGCCGGTTTGGAGACGAGATGTTGAGGATCAGTGCCGATGGCTGTCGTGTCGATGAGGCCGGCACTGGAGGATGAGTCGGGATGGGTCCATTCGCAGGTCCACCATAGAGGATCCCTCGGGATAATAAACAGAGAAACTGATATTAGCATAGACGCCATCCTTCTTTTGATGTACCAAGTACATCAGGATTTACGGGACGTGTTCCCGGTTCCGGCTGATCTAAACTATGCAGTCTAATTTGAGTTTAGGAAGTCTATAGTGTGTTATGTGTATGCTAGACTAAAGAGATGTGTTTTTAGTCTAGATTTGAACTGACAGATTGCGTCTGCTTCCCGGACAATGTTAGGAAGATTGTTCCAGAGTTTTGGTGCTAAATAGGAAAAGGATCTCCCGCCTGCAGTCGATTTTGATATTCTAGGTATTATCAACTGGCCCGAGTTTTGAGATCGCAATAGATGTGGTGAAGGACTATAATGCGTTAAGAGCTCGCTCAAGTACTGCGGAGCAAAACCATTCAGTGCTTTATAAGTAATCAGCAATATTTAAAATGTATTTGATGTTTAATAGTCAGCCAATGCAGGGTTAACAGAACCGGGATAATATGGTCATACTCCTGGTTCTGGTAAGAACTTGAGCGGCTGCGTTTTGGACTAGCTGGAGTTTTTTTATTAAGCGTGCAGGGCAAGTAGTAGTAGTCAATTTGGCCCCAGTAATTTAAACCTCCACAATATGATTTTTTTTTTTTTACAAAGGTTTGTCTCAGTTAATTTATGTCTTTGTTAACCACTTAAGTAACCTTTTCAAGTCCTCTAGTAAATCGCCTGCCAATCACATTGCAAATTTTAAAAAGGTGTATTATTGTGCCCGTTTCGCAGGATGCGTGGTGGGTCTCCGGTGTCCCCAAGGTGTGTGTGGGGGGTTTGGCTTGGAATGCCCCACAGGTATTTTTGCATAGTATGCTGGAATTGTCATTTTGAGGGTGAGTAAAGTGTTTAGTTTTTGTCTGTCCCTTTGGATGCGGGTGGGCTGCTGATTTCAAAACTTTAGCTTTGTTCAACCAGAGTCAGACAAAGATGGAGAGGCAACATTCCGAATGGTAAGTTGATGAATTATGTAGCTCATGCATAGTTATCTTCTAGTCACTGATTCGCTTAATCTGTCTCGATATTCTACAAATCATGTGCAGTGGGCAGGATTTATGTAAATTTAGCGCTGTTGTAGTCATTAAAAGCAATTTCTTAAATGAAATTCTCCCATTGCATTGTAACTTCTCAGATGTTGTTATGCTTAAATAAAGTCCTGGCTCAGGTTTATTAATCCACATGAACTGTTCATTTTTTAAAATAATTCTTGGAAAGCAGCATCAGTGAGTTGTCATCTAAAATACAATGATTTATAATATCTTATTATTGTTTTGCTCATAGGAACGACCTCTTTGCTATTATGATTTTGAGCAGAACACCTTTATTTCAGGCTGCTCCGGGAACACATCTGTACGATACAGTAAATGCATTCAAATGACTTTACATTGAATGTAATAAACTCAAACCCCTTAATATGGGATTGTATCCCAAAACTTTTATTATATTGTTGTCATGTACTGACATAGATATGACATAGATTCATATGCACATGATCAGCTGACACTTTATTATTCTAGGGTTATTCACAATACCTTTTTAAATGCCAAGTAGACCGTATTTTGAATGAAATATGAAAAGATTGGCTTTGATTAAAAACATTTTTCTGTAGAACCTGAAATAGTAAGAATCTTTTTAACTTAAAAATTTTTCATTTTATTTCCCCAGATTATTTAACAATAGGGTACCTAATATGTTATTTTAATTATCTTAAATATGATCAACAACACAAAGCAATGTATTCAATTCTGTTCTGTTTTAATAGAAAACAGAGTAATTTATATCTCTTGAAATCATTTTAATAGTATCCTTCGATATGATGCTCTGTATATATTAAGAAACAAACAAAAATAAAAACAAGGTACATGTTAAATACACGGTCAAACTTCACGGAAATAAATTTTCTGGTTACACGAGTTTAAATCTTTTAAACCAAATTACATACACAGAACAGGACCAGCAAGTATTGTCACAATTGGAAGTTTGCTTAATTTTTTTTTACTTTAATTTATTTTTTTCTCAATAAAATAACTGTAATTTAATTGTATTTTCAATGGCATATTTTCATTTTATTCATATAAATATCCACATGTGTCAGTCTATTACTTTGAAAACAAGGTAAAAATAATAATACAAATAATAGTAATAAAAATAAGACACAAAATGAAGCCAGATAACAAACCCTGCCAGAGTGGAAATTGTATTCTGCTGACAGTTCTTTCTTCCAAAAAGCTGGTCATTTGTGCTCTTGCCTCATCCTTATCTGAATCTGATGTGAAGGTCACACGACCTGTCCTAAAAGTACTGTTTGGTGCGGACTGATAGTCATTATCAGTATCAATTGATTTCAGTTCTTTATCTGGTATCACGGTTCGTGAGGGCTTTGCTTCTGTCTCAGTGCTGGAATCGGTGCGCTGTTGTAACAGATTGTCAGATTCTTCAGGTTTTTCTCTTTCAGGTTTTTCTTTTTCTGAAGGGGGAGGAAACAAACAATAATTACAATAAAGGAATACTTTTTGACTGTCCACAGAACATATGACATTTGCAATGCTCTTCATGATTTATATGCATGATGTTTGTGTTGAGAAGTGTGTTAAAGGCCTGTAAGATTCTCTGATGTTATTTCGTTGTTATATATAACAATGACACAATAAAGAACGAATGAATGAATGAATGAATGAATACAAGTGATGTGAAAACGTCTCAATTGGGACAGTTAAATGAGGTCAGAGCAGATTTGCTATGAAAGAGGAGATTGCAATTGTTGCAGATGTCATATTTGTTATCAGGCACCTGAATATTAATTACACTAAATATTAACCAAGTTAAATAATATACGAATAATTATATACAATAATACTTATGTATTATAAGTGTGTGTGTATTCATAAATATATATATGAAAACAAACCTCTTCTTTGAGCTGGAGACGGATGCTTTTCCTCTTCTGGCTGATTGTCTTTTACTGGTTTTGTGTCAGATGTTTCACTCGCTGGTCTCTCTTTAAGAGAGTTATTATCAGATGTTCCAGACTGGTTTTTGGATTCTGCTGTGCTAGAAGAAACATCAGGTGTAGACGGATAGTCATTTGACTCTTTATCTATTTCTATATCTTTATCTTCTCTCTCAGTTTGTGAGGGTTTCGCTTCGTTCTCTGGGTTAGAATCATTGGTGTTCAGAGGAGCCGGAGGATCTTGCTCATTGCTGACCGAAGAGTCGTGATTGTTTTCAATGTTAACACTGATGTGATCAGTGTGCTGACGTGAGGCTGCAGGGTTGCTGGTCCTGTTTCTCTGTAGACCTTTAGATTTGTCTGATCTTGTGACTGTCTTTTCTTGCTGAGCATCTGCTTCAAACGAGAATATAAAAAGAACAACAGCTTAAAGAGGTAACAGAGATAGTAGATGCTTCTGTTGCAGACAGCTTTACAAAATCACAATAATAATAATAATATTATAAAGCAGTGGTTTTCCCACAGCACTGCACACTTTCTGACTCTCTTATGACACACACAGTTCAGCGCATGATGCTCTCAGCTAACGAGATGAGGATCTTAATTGTTTTTTTTTTAAAGCAAGGAAGTCATGCAAAATGTGCAGTGGATTGAAAATCAGTTCCCATTCAGGGAACTTCGAGCTGCGTGTAAACGCCGTGTAAACGCCGTGGGAACGCCTCTGCGTGACGAGTCATGAAGCACGTATGAAATCTGTCCAATGGCGAGACGGAACGTCATAGGCGGGGTGACGTATCGACCAGGAAACTATAAAGCATCCCCGAAACACAAGCGCAACAGCTTCTGAGTCTTCACAAGCGCTCTATGTATGAATTTTGTCTGTCTGTCTAATATTGTATATTTATATATATTGATATGGCGAGCAAACAACAGCAGAAAGTGTGTTCATCCCTGCCCTCGCTTCATCACGGGTGGGGATACACACGATCTGTGTGTTGTTTGTTTGGGAGTGCAGCATGCTCAGTCGGCTCTCGAGGGGGCCGGCTGTGAGCACTGCGAGTGTCTGCCCATGAAGACACTTCGCTCCCGCCGGGCACTCTTCGAGGAGAGTGGTTCGGTGCGCGCTCCCCGCGGCTCGGGTCCCGCTGCTGCCGAGGCACAGCGAAGGCTTGCGTCGTGGGGATCGCAGATGGATCTATCAGCGGGGATTGAGACGGGCCCCGCCCTTTCTCTGCCCTTACCTGGTAGATCCAGTGCCTCAGTTCTCGCTGCGGGGGTCCGCGTTGCGGTTTTTCCTGCCCGGGCTGAGGCGCCATCACTTCAATTATCCAGTTCTGAGGAGCTGGATGTTGAAAGTGTGGATGCAGAGTCTATGGACTCAGTGGAGAGCGAGGGAAGCTCGTTTGCCATCCCAGTCTCCCGCGAATGTAGTAAAAAAATAAAAGGAAAAAAAAAAAAAAAATGGAGGTTTTTGACTCGGGCTGTGGAAAAATTAACCATTGAATGGCCAGTTGAGAAACAAGAGTCGAGAGAGTAAAATGGATGAGAGATTTTTAATATCACACTCACTACCTCCATGCCGGTGTTTGCCCTTCTTCCCCGATCTACACACCGAGGTGTGTAGATCGTGGAACAAACCAGTGTCAGCTAGAATTTTGACACACCAGACCTCTATGTATGCTAATATTGCTGGGTCTAGGAGATATGAGTGAGGGGGAGGTCGTCGGCACTGACGTGATTAATGAGATACTGCGTCAGGCGGCAGATATTTCTCTCCGTGCCACCAAGGAGACGGCCAGATCAGTCGGCCGCTCTATGGCAGCCCTGGTGGCCACGGAGAGGCATCTGTGGCTAAATCTGGCTAATATGAAGGAGAAAGATAAAGCGTTTCTCCTGGATGCGCCGCTGTCGACCGAAAAAAACAGGCAGCGGCGCTCCAGAAATGTCTCCCCCTCCGTACTCATCCTTCGGGGGCTGCTGGGCGAGAGCAGCCCCGCCCGTCGAGAGAGCGTCGCGTCTCGGGCTCCTCCCCAGCAAAACTGGGCTGAGACGCGGCGTTCTCAGGCGAGGTCTTCCCGGGATAGAACCGATCTGAGGACGGTTATTGTCGCCAGGAAGGCTTCGTCGAAGAAGTCCTGACACCACTGGTGTCAGGCTACTGAGGGTGGTCCCCACCGTGAGACAGAGGTGTTCGCCGCTGAATCCGGCGCCCGCTCTCTCTCGGTGCCCTCAGGGGTTCGTTCTGCCAACCCTGCCTGTAATGGGGGGTGCAGACGGTCCCAGCGAGCGATTTCCCGAGGGACGCTCGTTTGCTCCGAGGAGCGATACAGAACGGTCGTTAAACCCTGCCTGTGCGCGGTCACAGGGCGCTGTTTCTGTTTTTAAAAACTACTCCAGAGGCCAGTCTCGAGAGACTGGTACCCTTAGTAGAATTTCTGGTAGAATGGGGAAGTCTTCCAAATATATCTCGTTGGGTCCTGCAGACTATCGAACGCGGGTACGCGATCCAGTTCAGGTCGCGTCCACCTCGTTTCCGGGGGGTTTTGCCCACAGTGGTGACCCCCGAGCAGGCTCTGGTTATGGAACAAGAAGTGAAAGCTCTGCTACTGAAGGGGGCGATAGAACGAGTTCTTCCTCCCGACAGAGAGCTGGGGTATTACAGCCGGTACTTCATTGTTCCAAAGAAGGATGGGCGGCTGCGTCCGATTTTAGACCTGCGCCTCTTAAATCGGTCAGTAGGGAAGCTCAAGTTCTAAATGCTGACTCTCAAGCAGATCGTGTCACAGATCAGGTCCGAGGACTGGTTTGTCACGATAGACCTAAAAAAAGACGCGTACTTCCATATCTCCATCCTTCCGCAACATCGGAAGTTCCTGAGGTTCGCTTTTTGGGGCGAAGCGTACCAATATCGGGTCCTTCCATTCGGCCTAGCGTTATCTCCTCGAACCTTCACGAAATGCATGGACGCGGCCTTGGCCCGCTGCGTCTCCAGGGCATTCGCATTTTAAATTACATCGACGATTGGTTGATTCTGGCTCAATCGGAGCATCAGGCGATTCGGCATCGAGATGCCGTCCTCGCCCACATCAGAAGGTTGGGGTTGAGACTCAACGCTAAGAAGAGTGTGCTTTCGCCAGTTCAGCGGACCACTTTTCTAGGCGTGGTATGGGATTCGACGACGATGCAGGCACGTCTGTCGCCGGCTTGTATAGCCTCGATTATCTCGACTGTCAAGCAAGTGAAGCTAGGCCAGTCACTCACTGTAAAGGAATTCCAGAGAATTCTGGGTCTGATGGCAGCAGCATCCAACGTGTTACCGTGCGGCCTGCTGTACATGAGACCACTACAGTGGTGGCTCAGGACCAAGGGGTTCTCCCCGAGGGGAAAGCCGCTCCGCAAGATCAAGGTCACGCGACGTGGTCTCCGTGCCCTGGCTATGTGGAAAGAACCTTGGTTCCTGTCCCTGGGACCTGCGCTGGGAGCCCCGTGTCGCCGGGTATCGGTGACGACGGATGCCTCTCTCACGGGCTGGGGAGCGATCATGAGTGGTCGCTCGGCCCGCGGGTTGTGGCAAGACCATCATCTCCGATGGCATATAAATTGTCTAGAGATGATGGCGGTGTTTCAGGCTCTGAAACACTTTCTCCCAGACCTCAGAGATCATCATGTTCTTGTCCGGTCAGACAACATGTCTGTGGTCTCTTACATAAACCACCAGGGGGGTCTGCAGGGACCCGTTCTGCTGAACCTGCCTGTGAGGGTGGGCGCAGACGGTCCTAGCGAGTGGTTTCCCGAGGGAAGCTCGTTTGCTCCGAGGAGCGATACAGAACAGTCGTTAAACCCTGCCTGTGCGCGGTCACAGGGCACTGTTTCTGTCTCTATAATTACTCCAGAGGCCAGTCTCGAGAGACTGGTACCCTTAGTGGAATTTCTGGCAGAATGGGAAAGTCTTCCAAATATATCTCGATGGGTCCTGCAGACTATCGAACGCGGGTACGCGATCCAGTTCAGGTCACGTCCGCCTCGTTTTCGGGGGATTTTGCCTACAGTGGTATCCCCCGAGCAGGCTCTGGTCATGGAACAAGAGGTGAAAGCTCTGTTACTGAAGGGGGCGATAGAACGAGTTCTTCCCCCGACAGAGAGTTGGGGTATTACAGCCGTTACTTCATTGTTCCAAAGAAGCTAACGATATACGCCTCCCTCACGGGCTGGGGGCGATCATGAGTGGTCGCTCAGCCCGGGGTCTGTGGACTTTCTCCCAGACCTGAGGGGTCACCATGTTCTTGTCCGGTCAGACAGCACATCGGGGGTCTTTTTATAGACCATCAAGGGGGTCTGCGCTCATGTCCATTATTCAGGCTAGCGCCAGATCCTTCTGTGGGCCCAGGGGAAGCTTCTTCTTTGGCGATTATATATCCCAGGATATTTAAATCGGGAGGCAGACATCCTGTCGAGGCAGGGGCCGAGGCCCGGGGAGTGGAGACTCCACCCCGAGGTGGTGGAGCTCCTATGGAGTCATTTCGGTCATACCGAGGTAGGCCTATTTGAATCCAGGGACTGAGACACTGCATGCTGTGGTTTCTCTGTATCCACCAGCCCCTCTGGGGTTGGATGCGATGGTACAGGAGTGGCCGAGGTCACCCCTGTACGCATTTCCCCCGATTGCTCTGCTCCCAGGAGTTCTGGAGAGGGTTCACCGAGTCGGGGTCTTTCTACTGTTAGTAGCCCCGCGTTGGCCGGCCCGAGTATGGATGCGGGTCGATACTTCACCCCCGCCCAGATCTATGGAGGTTGTGGCTTGGCCTCTGAGGGGGCCCAGCTCATAGAATCGGGTCTCTCGAGGTCTCTCGATGATCGTGGAGACCATCCTCCAATCCAGAGCTCCGTCCACGAGGAGATTATATGCCTTGAGGTGGCAATGTTTCACCTCTTGGTGGGGAGAACACCAGTTGGACCCAGTTAACTGCCCGGTGTGGCGGTGCTGGAATTCCTTTGGAGCATTTCTCCACAGGGTTATCCCACTCCACACTAAAGGTGTATGTGGTGGCCTATCTGCTTACCACGTCCCTTTGAGTGGAGCTTTTCACGGGAGATACCCATTGGTAATTCTTTTTCTTCGTGGTATTGTGAGGTCAGACCAAGAGAAACTAATCTGCTCTGCCCTCTGAGGGCTCTAGATGCTTATGTCCACAGAGCTGCCCTGTGGAGAAAGCCTGAACAGTTATCTGTTTGTTTTGGACCTCCGAAGAAAGGTTGTCCCGCATCTGAGCAGAGGTTGAGTAAGTGAGTGGTCGAGGCCATCTCATTTGCATATGAGTCCGCCGGTCAGCCTTCTACTTTGGCTGTCTGGGCTCACTCAACCAGGGGTATGGTAGCTCCGCTCCAGGGGCGCAGGTGCTTTCGTCTAAATATGTGCCTGATTTCATACAACGGACACCTGCTCGCATGGCGGCGTTGGTATTAGCGTTCCCACGGCGTTTACACGCAGCTCGAAGTTCCCTGAATGGGAACGTCTCTGGTTACGTATGTAACCCTAGTTCCCTGAAGGGAACGAGACGCTGCGTGTCTATGCCATACTCCCAGCATGCCCGTGAGCGCTTGCTTCAGTCCTATCAGAAGCTGTTGCGCTTGTGTTTCGGGGATGCTTTATAGTTTCCTGGTCGATACGTCACCCCGCCTATGACGTTCCGTCTCGCCATTGGACAGATTTCATACGTGCTTCATGACTCGTCACGCAGAGGCGTTCCCACGGCGTTTACACGGCGTTTACACGCAGCGTCTCGTTCCCTTCAGGGAACTAGGGTTACATACGTAACCAGAGACGATTTTCAATCAAAAATTGTCTTAATTTCATTTATAGCAATTATATTTTACTGATGCTCAGCTTTTGCATACTTCAGTTCATATTTTCCCATCAAGGCTCATTGGAAAACCATGCCTGTGGTGACTTTTCTGCAAAATTATATTATGTTGCTTTTGCTTTGCAACATTTTCAATGTGAAATGTCCAGTGTGTGGACCTACAAAGGTCAGTTTTATCCGAAACAGATGCACTTGAACCTGGCGATGTTTTATTAAGTATGACTTGCCTAACTCCACCCAAGCTGCAGAGTCTTTTCAAGAAACTGCTAAAGACTTTTTCGTCCACACTTGTCCCGTTAATACTAACACTTACTATTCTATATATATATATATATATATATATATATATATATATATATATATAATTATTATTATTATTATTAAAAAAACACACACACTGTGCTGGACTAACTGACTGGTCATGGCACAATTGCCTATTGTTGATTTGTTTGCTTTTATTACTCTCATTTGCAAGTCGCTTTGTATAAATGATTAAATTAAATTTGTTTTTCACGTATCATGGCAGTTTGGAAATGAAATGTTCGGTGAGTGGTGCTAAAAAGTTGATGCTCTATCGTCTTACAAATTAACGTAGCACCGACACTTAACCCAACCGATAGTGTTAAGAAAAGCAAACTGGAGATAAAAACGCTCTTGCTGAAGAAAATCTTTGAGCTGTTTTATCGTGACTTGTGCTTCACATAAACAGAGCAGTGCTGTACCAGTGGGCCTAAAGAGCGAGTTTACATAACCAGCTCCATACGTGTGGCTTGTTTGTGAATAGTAAATTATATAAGTTTACAAATTATGCGCTATAGTATAAGTATTTTGAGGTCATATTATATTGTGTGAGGAGCCACACAAAAATAAGTCTTTATTAATTCATAATCTACCCCGTAACCATAATTTGAGTGTAAAGGATTTTAAGTTGTTGGTTTTTTACATCTGAGCTGGAAACTTTAGTGGATTGTTTGTTTTGGGAGTTTTGAAAAAAGAAATACAAATATAGAGGCACGTTTTTCTGATAAGTCCGGACTGATATTTTCCCAGTATAATACTTGCCTTGATTTTTGATTAATAGTTTTCAGGTTTGGTTTGTCTATAATAATTATTGTATATGAAAAAAAATACATGTGAGAAAATATTACAGAATATTGGAAGCTTTGCTTACATTTTCTGAAGAAAAGCAAGCATGCCATGTCAGAGATGATGTGTCTGTTAAAAATAAATGCAACAATTAAAGACACACTAATGATGATTCGATAGTGCATTTGCACAGATTCCTGGCAGCCAATAAACTTCAGTTCACATTTATGTTCAGAGTGCCTTCCACAATACATAATTTATTACAGCCCTGTGCGGGACTGTTGAATTTCTGACCATTATTGCCCACACCTGCTAACACTCTGTTACAGCTTGTAGAAATTGTGAAAAAAATACACAAATATTAGGGCTATTCTAAGCATTCAGAACAGCAGAGAAAAAACATTGTGTTTAATTAAACTGACCAAAAGATAAAGTAATGCTTGCACCACAAATGTTAAACCACCCCCTCCCGCGATATTTGCATTGGGTACCGCCGGATCCCAATCCCAATTCAGCACCCTAGTAGTTCTAAGATTATACAAATCATGCACTAAAACACTAGTACAAATGTATAGTAGTTTTATGAAGTGACATCATAAAGTTTCTTACCTGTCCTTGACATTCCGAATCTGTAAAAACACAAGCACAAAGATTCTGTCCCACAATGTTCCCATTTATTTACAAATAAAAAAACATTGCACCAAAATCAATTTAAGGACTCAGAAATTTAAATTTAGAATTATATTTACATACTTGACAATGTGACTTACTCTATATCCTCACAAAAACAGCTATTGGACATCTAGATGTGAATGTGTGTAACTAGTATATTATTAAAGGGAGAGAAACTCACCCTGTACACACTGGAGTCATTAAATTGATACCACCGATGGTCATCGAATGACTTGATGTCAGCAAAGTAGTGTCCACCACTGAGGGAACCAGTGTGATTGACTAAAGCATAGAGGTCATACCTATGATGGACATCCTTCTTCTCCTGAAATAGCAGATTATAATATTGAAGTATTGGTACATATGCTTACAAAGAGGTCTGACTGTAATGATTACTGTAATGCTCTACTGGGGGGTTGCCCTGCACGCTTAATAAACAAACTTTAGCTAGTCCAAAACGTAGCAGCTCGAGTTCTTACCAGGGCCGGGTTTCCCGATGACGATGTATCTTAGCTCTTAAAGGAGAACTCCGGCGAACAATGAACCTTTAGTCTAATAAAACATCGGTACATAGTCAATCGTTCTCTGAGATTTGTTTTCATGATAATCGAATGTAAAGAGTTTTATCTCTAAAAACTGTTTAGCGTATAATGCTAGTAATGGGGGCATTTACTAAGTAAAAAGAAACCTCTAGTTTATACCACTAACAAGGCTCAAAATAGCCCCACACTAACACAGTAACATAATGAGACTCCATACATGCAAAACGAAGCATTGAGAACTTTGTAAGTGTACAGACCGTTTAATAAGAAGATACTTTATGAATACAGTTCACTTCGTGTATACAGACAGGAGCCATCTTGGAAAATAGTCTCTATAGACCATTTCACAAGATGTAAACAACACTGGCCCAGAAGCACTTCCTGTCTCATTTTTTTAACACTACATAAAAGCTGGGATAAAATACAACCAACAGAACATTTAAAACTGAATCAAAAAGTTAAACAAACATCTTTAAAATGTTTTCTTTACATGTGAAATAAAGAAAACAGTTACAAACTGAAACAGGAAGTGTTTCTGGACCAGTGTTGTTTACATCTTGTGGAATGGTCTCCGAACGCCGTTCATACAGTTCAGCTCACTCAGCACGGCGTTCGGGGATCGACTTATCGAGACTATTTTCTAAGATGGCTCCTGTCTGTATACACGAAGTGAACTGTCTTTATAAAGTATCTTCTTATTAAACGGTCTGTACACTTACAAAGTTCTCAATGCTTCGTTTTGCATGTATGGACCCTCATTGTGTTACTGTGTTAGTGTGGGGCTATTTTGAGCCTTGTTGTGGTATAAACTAGCGATTTCTTTTTACTTAGTAAATGCCCCCAGTACTAGCATTATACGCTAAACAGATTTTAGAGATAAAACTCTTCACATTCGATTATCATGAAAACAAAACCCAGAGAACAGTTGACTAGGTACCGATGTTTTATTAGACCAAAGGTTCATTGTTCGCCGGAGTTCTCATTTAAGAGCGCTCTCTCCGTGCAAGGTTACGAACGCTCGCAGCAATTCCACGCGCGTTTCCCCAAAATTTCCCAAAAACGAAAACGCGTTCTGCAGGGGCGTCGCACCCGTGGGGGATGTGGGTGTTTTAACACCCACACTTTTCCCCGTGAGAGTGTTCAACACCCGCACTTTTTCTGCAGTTTTTCCACAGTTTTGCACAAACGCCATACTACAGTCGCTCCTCCGTTTCTCTGGCGCTCTGTGTGTGCGCTCGCTGCGGCTGCCTCCTCTCAAACATGACACCGGCTTTGAGTGTGACCGGCTGATGATTGGCTGTTCTGCCTTAAGTCGCACCTTTCTTGATGTGCAGTTAGATGTATCGGTCAGCTCGTGCTGAGGAGGCGGGAACTTATGTTGTTTTTTACATCTCCCTTTTCCAGGTACTTTGAATGAGTGTTTATGCTTTCGGGGTTTTTAAATAAGCTTTATATGTGTTTGGGAAGATGCTATGTTTATGTTTTATTGACATGTCCAGTATTTTCGTTATTATATTTCGTATTTTTGGATAAACAGCACAAGACTTGCGTTAGGCATTTTGTTGCTGTGTGATTTGAAGAAAAATGCGCTCTTTGCTCACACGATCAGCATGGTGTTCTGGTGTTTTCTCCTAAATAAAAGCTCAAGGGTTTATTTCTTACAAGTGAAGAAATTAGGACAAAAGGATTGTAATTTCCATAGCGTAATATAAAATATAATGTAATGTAGACTGAGACTCTATATCATAACTATAAAGATGTTTGAGCCCTCTTTAGGTAAGCTACAAGTCAATGCTTTTTCGTTGTTCAATGTGCACAGGCCTGGGTCGAAGCCAGTTGAAGCTCTTAATTTTGAACTCTCAATGTGCTCTCCAGATTGATGCATTTAACCTTAAATTGTGCAAAATTTTCTTGCAAGGGAGCATGCCCCCGAACCCCCCTAGAGGGACAGGGGTCTACGTAACATGCCCAAATTTAAATGACACATCCATCCCCCAGACTTTTCAAAAGCTTGCTACGCCACTGGCGTTCTGTGCTACTTAATTCTTTAAAAATGCTTTAAAAATAAAGTCACTGTCCATTCGCGAAGTGCTGAAATATAACCTTATATGGAATCGTATTCGTATTCTATCGTAGTCTTTAAAGCATATTTCCCAGATTACTTATTTTATGATTTTGTGTTTTTTGTTCATTCGTTTAATTTTTATTTCTATTTTTTTCTTAACTTTTTAAATATTTAATCCATTTAACCAAAACACGAGTACAACAAAGTCTACTATAAAGTACAATCAAAACCTATGTATTATACTTACGTTGCATGGTAATCTGTTAAATCTAGCTCGTGGTTAAAGATTTTCAAGGGCTACTTAAGTTACGATGCTTTTGGGAAACAAACCATAATATTAAGATCAGTCGTACGATCGTTTTTACGATCAACTTAGGCTTACGATGCTTTTGGGAAATGCAGCCCAGAACCAGGAAGTATGACCATATTATCCCGGTTCTGTTAACCCTGCATTGGCTGACTATTAAACATCATATACATTTTAAATATTGCTGATTACTTATAAAGCACTGAATGGTTTTGCTCCGCAGTACTTGAGTGAGCTCTTAACGCATTATAGTCCTTCACCACGTCTATTGCGATCTGTAAACTCCGGCCAGTTGATAATACCTAGAATATCAAAATCGACTGCAGGCGGGAGATCCTTTTCCTATTTAGCACCAAAACTCTGGAACAATCTTCCAAACATTGTCCGGGAAACAGACGCAATCTGTCAGTTCAAATCTAGACTAAAAACATATCTCTTTGACCTAGCATTCACATAACACACTATAGACTTCCTAAACTCAAATTAGACTGCATAGTTTAGATCAGCCGGAACCGGGAACACGTCCCGTAAATCCTGATGTACTTGGTACATCAAAAGAAGGATGGCGTCTATGCTAATATCAGTTTCTCTGTTTATTATCCCGAGGGACCCTCTATAGTGGACCTGCGACTGGACCCATCCCGACTCATCCTTAAGCGCCGGCCTCATCGACACGACAGCCATCGGCACTGATCCTCAACATCTCGTCTCCAAACCGGCGTGATTACCTCGACTTCCAAATAGATGGAAATGGACAATTCTCTGAATGTTTCAATCCAATTTGTCTTGTAATCACTGTTCCTTCATTGGCCAGAGGAGAACTGGCCCCCGACTGAGCCGGGGTTCTCCCATATTATTGGGTTCTCCCATAATATTCAACAATATTATTGATCTGTGTTGTATTACTTTCATGTTATCACTGTGAAGCTGCTTTGATACAATCTGTATTGTAAAAAGCGCTAAATAAATAAATGTGACTTGACTTGACTTGATTGATAAAATGTCCATATACACCATAGCAGCGGTCTCCAATCCTGCTCCTGGAGAGCCACTGTCCTGCAGACTTCAGTAACTGTACAAACCTGCTCACACCTTTAAGTATCAAGTAACTCTGAAGACATCATTAACTTTTTTAGGTGTGTTTGATTAGGGTTGGAGCTGAACTCTGCAGGAAAGTGGCCCTCCAGGACAGACGATGCCCATCCCTGGTTAATATAATATTTATATTGTATTACTGTATTGTGTATATACTGTACTGTATTAATTATAAATACAGTTACCCACTCAGGAACCAATGAAAGTAAATCAATGGAGCACATTCACATAAGACTGTAAAGGACAGAAGGTTTTTAAAGACAAAGAAGTCAGACCTGCAATGATAACTGGAGAGGAATTTTAACAGGACAGTTGTTCTTCATGTAAATCATGTAGTTGTAATCCAAGTAAAATCTCTGCAGATGTAGAGTCAGAACTTCTGGCAGCTCAGAAATGGTACATTTCTAAAAGAAATATAATCTCATTAATAGAGAATAAAGTTATTTTTCAATTGTACCAACCTCATGGAAAATACTGTTATATTTATTTACCTGAATATACTTTTTGTATTGCCAATATTAGTTTATTTTGTTTAATGTGTCATGTAGTGTTTTCCATATGACATGTTTTTCAAGTGTTCATATTTCCATTAACACATAAGAGATTTGATAAGACTATTGAAACTTAAAATTAATTTTAAAAAAGATACTAATGTAGAACTAAAAAAAACAACATTAACACTTTATTTCGATAGTCCACTTTAGATATTCTACTGACTATAAGTAAGGTTTACAACTATAAATCAACTTAATCTCCTAACCCGAACCCTAACACCTCCTTATAACCTAACAGTCTACTGACAGGGGTGTAAAGTAACGAATTACAAATACTCACGTTACTGTAATTAAGTAGTTTTTTTCAGAAATTGTACTTTTTTGAGTAAGTTTAAAATTGTGTAATTTTACTTTTACTTGAGTACATTTTAAGTGATGTATCGGTACTTTTTCTCCGCTATTTTCCTTTTGTTTGTGGCCGTTACTCGTTACATGCTTGTTTTAATTTGATTTTTATCCATCAACGTGATTGGATCGAGTAATCGGTCTCGTGACTGTCATCAATTCAAATTAAGCATAGAAAACTTACCGCCTATTCCTGCTGTTACTCGTGACTGCTGTGGAAGTGCATTCATCTCCCATCAATTCAATCCAGATATCAGCGTCTTCTTCTAATATGCTAAGGTACATTTCACTTTCTGCTTAATATGATATTTATATTTGCTGGCCTGTCTACATGGCCTAACATTTGGTCTGAGGTTGGGGGAATTGCGAGACGAGTTCGTAATGCGGTGAATTCCCGCTCCCATTTACTTCACAATCACAGGAGAGACGCGCGTCACGATCTGCCGCGTCTCGCGCTCGCCATGCCGCCAGATTCAGAATCAGTGCACCATGTCGTCGTTAACTTGAAATGCATATAGGAAATTAGCACAGCTCGTTAATAAACAGCATTTTTTGATTGATCCATTATGCGATCCGTCTTCATTTGGCAAGTGCACTTGCGCAAAAACATTTTCCATGCTGAACTTTTTTTTGTGTGGATGCTGCTGATAAAACGGCTTCGCCGAGACTTCAGAGACAAAGTGTGTTTGTTTCTTTTGTAAAAGTTTCCTGGATATAACTTCCCTATTTAATGCACAATTGTCCTTTCAAATTATATTATCAGCATTACAATGTGAGTAAATGTAGCTGTGTAAAATGTAAGGGATGATGCCACCCTTCTAGAACAATGCATTTACGTTTAAATTGTAACATAGCATGGAATTAAAGTGTGTAATTAGTGTTAGCTCACTATCTTAGCCTTTTTCAGTGCATTAGTTGAGGTAGTATGATAATATTAGTGATTCTTATTTATTAAAACACTAACATTGGTACCGTTTTGGAGAGAAATTGGGTATTTTTTTATTTTATTCAACCCATCTCTTGCACAGTTATGAATATTGATATTTTATGTGCAACAATAACATGCTCAGGCCCAGTGGCTTTTCGCCTAATTTTAAATGCTTTTCCCCCAAATAATTTAAATGGTGATGAGTGTACTGATTTGAAGCATTTTAAAAAGATGGATGATAGATATTCTTCAATCTTTCTTACAAAGAACAAAGTATAATGTGAATTCCAGTATGTGCATTTTTAAACTTATAAATTGTAGTGCACAGTGTTTATTATAAGGGTTAGATTCCGCACCTCAGTACTCACTACTCACTACTCTTGAGTACTTTTAAATAAGCTACTTTTTTACTTTTACTCAAGTAGTTTTTTGGACAAGTACTTTTTACTCTACTCACACTACATTTTTTGGAATGTAATGGTACTTTTACTTGAGTATGTTTTTTCAGTACTCTTTCCACCACTGTCTACTGAGAGTCTACAAACCACCTACTAATACTCTAATGACCGTTAGTTGACATGTAGTTGAAAAGTTACTTAAGTATCCACAAGTTTCCGAGGGGCGCTCCTGTAAAAAATAAAGTGGGTGAAACTTCCGGTACAGCGGCGGAAGTAGCATTCCAGTGGTATTTTGTGTGTTAGTTAGCGAAGAGGCTTTATTTTACTCTTTAAAGACGCAAATCTTTATGAGAGATGTCGTTACGGAGCTCAGGGACAACATGCGCTGTTCGCGGTTGTATGTATAACCGGACTAAACTAATTCAGTGACTTAAACGTGATTGTTTTGAACATAAGCTGAAAACGAAATCAGAGTGATCCTGCCAACGACTGTAGTTTCCATCACCTCCCAAAAGACGACGAATCTTCCTGTGTACATTTGTTTAAATTCTTAATATTCTATAAACTCTCTCAGCATGTGATTGGCTGTTCGCTACAAATGTTACACCTAAACTCAGGATCAAAGCCTGTGTTGACAGAATACCAAATGTGCCAGTAATGTATTCAAGTAGCACATTCATTTATAATTCTGAATAAACTCCAAAGCACAATGACTAAGTGTGTATTTTTTATTTTAATTGTTTGTCAGCTCGCACAACTGTCTGTCACCATGCCTTGATGAGTATTGATTATTAATAATGTTATTATAATACTCCCAACCAACTACTGCGGAGGGTAAAGGGACTGTTATTTCACCCTTTTTAATTTCGTTGAGGTTGTGTTCCCACATCGTTAGCTAGTTTGGATCGCTATAACTTGAATGACTGTCAACTGTTGAATGAACGAGTGTCAAGCATGTCAAAGTCGCGCTTTGTTTACTTCCAACCGGAAGTCGCGCCCACTTTTGACGCAAGGCCTCATGGGCCGTAGGAAACTTGTGGATAGTAAAATGTCTAAAGTGGACTATCGAAATAAAGTGTAACCAAAACAACTTTAAAATGTGAAGCTTACCATTTCCATGTCAGCCATAGTGTTGCATGTTTCACAGAACAGCTGATCCTCTCCATCCATGGGCATTACTTCAAACTGTGCATTCAGACTCTTTTGCTGAAACAAACAATTTTAAGAATAAGAAATTAGGGCAAACAAAAAAACTACCTCGTGGGGAAAAAGTGACTGAATTTATGGTCTCATGTTGAACTTATCATTTGTACAAATTTGTACGGTTACAAAATCATGAGAATGAATTTGTACGAAATTTTATTAGTGGGGTTTTAGCAGTCTGGTATTCCTTAGAGGTTTTTCTTTCAATGCTCAGGAGACTTAAGTTGATATATTTCTCAGTTTTTTAAGTTCTGTATCTAGCTTGTGTCAGATGTTTCTTCTTCATCTAAACTATGAATTAACTATAACTAATAGTTTGCAAATTACTTGTAAGTAAGTACCTTATTATTTTATAATTATTATGAAGCGTTACCTATATGTTTTATGGGCCACTTTGGTTCAGGCTGTAAATTGCATCAGGCTGCATTTATTATCTCATAATACTTACTACATTAATTTTAGATTGACCAGAGTCCATAACAATGGCCAAAGAAAAAAATGAAATGATTTCCTCAATGGGTTCATGGTTTCCATGTATACAGGTGGTTGAGTGTTTCTTCTTTCCCTGGAATACCTGTAAAATATTGCAAAATGGTGAATCACTTAAGCCCATGGTGTTTGACTAGTTTTAATGGTATATATTTTATAGGGCCAGATTTACTAACATGTCTTTTGGCGTTTACTGTCAGGATTTACTAAAGACACGCAGTATGAAATTAGCAATGAAAAGCTGTGGACACAGATACACAAGTTAAAAACTTGTTTCCATTGCAGTCATTTGATGTTAAACACAAACTTCACTCCCGGTTACAGGTACACTGGTATTGTATAGTATTATAAATAAAAAAATTACAATAACAATTCCACACTTACAACATTTAAAATCACAATTTAACACATACACTGACTAACACCAATTGTTAGTTAGTACAAATTCACCACTAAATCAATCTAAGAACATTCTTTTAACTGTCAAACTAAAACCAACCACATTTGAAATACTTTTAATATCCAGATTCAATTTGTGCAAAATAAGACTTTGCTTAGTATTATAAGATTTAGAAAAGACTTTATAAGATTATCAGCTCACATCTAAAGACTTTGGGTTCAGAGTTTTTAGTCTCAGACTAAAGATTTTACAAACACTGAATCTTGTAGTGACACTATTTACAAGACTACAACTGATTATTTTAGCTTCCCAACAAATTCCTCCCATCATTCCGCGGTTGCGTGAATGTGAAAGCAACACGGATTAGGGCACGCACTTCTTCAGGAAGTAAAGTATCCTGCGCATGTGTCCTTATTGTGATGAATTCAGTTAAATAAAACACTTGTGAGGGATGATAGTGTTGATGATTTACCTTGGATACGAGCGAGAGTGAGCCTGAAGTGTATTCGTGCATTGGAATCAGAGCAACACATTTGGAAATCCCTGTCGCCTCAGAAGAGTCCGTTTGCAAGCCACAGAAGTACACCTTATGTGACACGCACAGTAAACCTGTATTGTACACTCAACTGCGCATAATAGCAGCAAAGAAATAGAAAATATATATAGGCTATATACCGTACTTTCCACACTATAAGGCGCACTTAAAAGCCTTTAATTTTCTCAAAAAACACCTTATATCAAGCGCCTTGGATAAATTGGTTAACAACGCTCCGCGTTATTAAATTCACCCGTGAACTCGCGCTCGTGTCCATCTTATGCCCGCTTTGACACATGGCCAGTTCAACCTCGTATAAATCAGGCTATGTGTGTCTCCCGCTCACGAGCGCTCACTCTTAACAGACACACTGTATAAACGCCTCATCTCCGGCGCCGCGCACTCGCTACATTCCCAGCACATCTAGTGGATGCATAACATAAACCCAGTCAAACATGTGACTGTAGTATCTTATGTGCCTTATAATCCAGTGCGCCCTATATATGAAAAATGTTCTAAAATAGGTCATTCATTGAAGGTGCGGTAAAACGCGGCTATATTTACCCACGTTCTGCTTTCTATCATATATGGAGCTATATTTTTTGCTCCATATCGCCCAGCCCTAGTAGATATAAAAACTTTTCTGGTAAGGAAAAAAGTCAATATCAGGAAACAATGTGTAATCACCATCACATCCAGCCGGCTCTCTGAGAGAGCTCCCATGAATGGGTCTCGAACTTGTGTCTCTGGTGTGAGAGGTGGACATGCAAACCTCAATTTTATTGGTTGTTGATTGTTTTACGTCACTAGCACTACGCAAGGACTTACGATAATATCAAACATGTTTGATATGAAAGACTAGAGAAAGACTGGCATAAATCGGGTTGTCGACTGCAGATTATCCTCACATTTAAAGATCGAGAAGACGGGAGCGCGCCGAGATTTCAGTGAGATTTCTAAAGACTGCCAGTCTTTAGTCTGGGACTGTGAAAATCCTTTGATGTAAGCCCAGCATAAATCAAAGAATCCCTAAAAATAGGGATGCACAATATTGGATTTTGACCGATATTCGATATGCTAATATTTTCAAACTCATTTTGGCTGATACAGATACCGACATAAACACATTTTTCCCCTGATAATATACATTTTGATTTTACTGAAGAGAAATCAAATAAAAGTCTCTCTCCTGTACTACCTTTGCCTTATTACACTCAAGACAAACAGCATTTGATTCTACCATAAATATATAATTTTACAAATGTAGACAGACATTCACCCCTGAAAAATAGATCAATTAATTCACTTAGAATAAATGAGGAGAATAAATTATATGCCTATGCCACATTTTATTTTTAAATAATATTTTTATTTAATTTTATTTATATAGTTCAAACTTCAGTCCTTAGGAGTAAAATAAAAAAATCCATTTTTAAATAAAAAAATGTACATCATGTCCTACTTGAACAGGTCTACCAAATGCTTCCCTGACATAGTTGACATTGTACTAAAACATACAGTGGCACAAAAAAGCAGCTGTAGTCCAGACCTACTCTTCAGTCCCTAGGAGCCACTTTAAAGTATAATCAAACTTAAAACTATAAGCTACATATATTGTCTTGTAAACCACAGACAGTCCTGTAACAAATCAGTGACAAACAGTGTGCCCTGTATTGCAAAAAAAAAAAAAAATACAAGGACATTTTATCCTTCACTTGAACTTGAGTCGTGCAAACCTTTTCAGTCCAACTAACTAGGGTGACAACTTCAGCTGACCAGTAGACTTCTGTTCAGCTATTTTTTTAATACCAGAGGTAGATTTTTCTTCACAAAAATGAGCAACTCTGCTTTTTCACCATCCATTCGATTTCTCTTTTCGTCTATCACATCAGAGGCAACGCTAAACAGCCGTTCGCTGTCAACACTTGTGCAGGGCGCACACAGGTACTTGCGTGCAGCAGAAGCGAGGGCAGGGGAACAGGCCTGGTTACGTTTCCAGTACTCCAATGGACTGTCTTTTCTGGGAATTGTGGGTTCAGCCAGGTATGAGAAGGCCTATGAAGTGATTACTAAATCACTTACTGATATTTTTTTTTTTACTTTATGCTTTTTAGACATTATTTTCAGAAATCAAATTATTTATTTATTAGTTGCAAGTTTATTATTAATACACTGGCCGAATTATGATAAATAGGCTATTATCTATGTTATGACACTGCAGAATAATAATCGAGAAAGTTGCATTATTAAGTAGGATAATTTCGGTCCTAAAGTGAAATATTCTAAAAAACAAAAATAAAAACTTACCTGTGATGCGGCCTCGGTCATGTCTTGCTCCTCAAAAATGACATTCTCCTCCAGAATTTCTTCATACATATCCAACAGTGATCCTGTTCGGTCCTCTTCTCTGGGGGATGCTCTGTGCTGGAATCACTGCCGCTCATGTCATCCAGAACTTTGAGCAACAGGTCGCGAGCACTCTGCTATTTTTCCACGTCAAAGTACCGGTCTTTGTAGCGAACATCAAGCATGGTTGCAACCGAATAAAGTGCTTCACACTGCACACCGTTGAAGCGATGATTGACAGCTTCCAGCAGAGTAGTTTTGGTGGTCTGCACGCCTCTGTCCGTGTCACTCGGTATCAGTGCCACAACCGCGGCTATCACATCAGCAGCAGGGGCCTCTGCAGAACTTATATCTCTGGTCAGCTGTTCAAATGGGGCGAGAAGTGTTATCATATTTTCTAGAATCCCCCACTGATTTGGTGTCAAAGTTGCAGGAAGCTCGAAATCAGCGGCGTAAGCACCTAGTGCCCTCTACTGCTCGACCAAGCTTCGGATCATATAAAACGTTGAATTCCATCGGGTAGCGACGTCTTGTTGAAGTCGTTTTACCGACATTCCGAGCTCTTTCTGCACATCCCCTAGCCGACTGTATGCCAGCAGTGAGTGCTTGAAATGTCCAACTATTCTCCTTCCCACTGCCACAACATCCGCCACGCAGCGCTGAGACAGGACACTTTCATGCGCTGCCAGTTGCAGTGTGTGTGCCATGCACGGTAGGCTTGCCACACCAAACTCCTCCATAGCTTTAACCATGTTACGGGCATTGTCACGTAGCACGACATGCACTCGTTCTCTTTCTATTTTCCATTTCCCTAACATATTATCAAACGTGGATGCAATTGCAGCTGCTGTGTGAGAACCGGAGAATTCCTGCGAGTGTAGGACAGCTTTTTTAATGGTGAAGTCTTCGTCTATCCACTGGGCAGTGAGGCTCAACATGCTAATAGGACTCACGCTTGATGACCAAATGTCCGTGGTAAAGCTAATGTGACTAGCGCCGGCGAGAAGCTTTTCGATGTGACTGGCAACAACACTCTGTAATTCAGGTAAGGCCACGTCAGAAAAGTTGCGGCGGCTAGGCATAACATACCGCGGCTCTAGGTGCATCATTAGCCTGCTGAAGCCAACGTCTTCCACCACGCTGAATGGCTGGTTATCCAGAGCAATAAATTCAATGATTTTGTTGTTAAGTTCTTTTAACTTTGGGTGGTCGCTGCTGTATTTTCTAGCTTTGTCAAAGGACTGAAGAAGAGGCTGCTGATGGGTTTTTGTTTTTGCCGGCATTTTTCCCTCCTTACTTTTCAAAAAGTCTTGGTGCTGCTGAGGATGACGGCTCTTAAGATGCGTAATCATGTTTGTAGTGTTGAATGAGTGCTGTTTTACGCCTCCTCGCATTACTTGTGCTTTACAAGTATGGCAAATAGCAAGTTTGTTATCTGTTTCACAGATCTCGAAATACCTCCACACAGCCGACATGTTGGTAGTTTTAGTTGCTCGCGCTCTACGTTCACGGTCGTCACGTGCGCCCAGTAAACCCGCCAACCTATCGGCAAGGCTAATCGGCAGATATTTCTGCCGATGCCGATGATGATCATTTTAAGCTTATATCGGACGATACCGATGTCGTCCCGATATCATCGTGCATCCCTACCTAAAAATAATCATTTAAAAAAAAATTTCTGTAGCTTATCCAACCATTAACGAGACAAATCAGACATCCAAGAAATGCATTCATACTCCAAATGATTCTGCACTAGACATGATGCAAGTGATTTAAATTTTGAGTCTCCAAAAAACAAACGTGTCTGGCAAGAATGCTTTTTCAGAAGAGACAGATCTGTGGCTCTCCGCAGCTCCGAGAATGACTCCTCATCCAAAGTGCTGCCCACACTCAAATCCTCTAATAGGTCAGCCTGGTACGCCTGTAGCACTGCCATAGTGTGCAGCGCCGCACCAGCCTGAACTGCAGCTTGATAAGCTTTACCCACTAATGCTGATTTAATTTTACATGGCTTCGTGGGGAGAGTAGGTCTCTTAAAGGAAGATGCCGAAGCAGGCGAGAGATAGCTCGCGAGTGTCTTTTCTACCTGCATCATCTCTGCATACCCCCCTGCCTTTGCACCCACGATAGTCGAAAAAGTCGACATCGAGGGCAGAAAAATACGGGAAGTATATGGTTTACTCCATGACTTAGACAGCTCGTCATGGAGGTCCTCGAAAAGGGGAGAGACTGATGTTTTAGTCCTTGACAGAAACCTATCCCCTAGCTTGACTGTTTGGAGGTCTCTTGTCCAGTCGAGTGACCACTTCGATCAGTTCCTCGACAGATTTATTTTCGCGAGAGGAATGCTCAGAAGACGGCTGCTCATAGTCCTCAGACCCAAGAGACAAATCATCATCCCCCACGCAAGCCGAAGAAGCACCGGAATGCGCTTCAGGATCACACGAGGGAGTGTATGGATCTGGTGATGCAGCAAGCAAAAGGGACGGACCCGTCTCTTGTTCATCACACAGATTCATGCGATAGCCTCACAATGGTAATGTGGGTGCGGTCTGGAAATAGTTCAGACGAGAGCGCAGCATTTTTACCGTGAACATCTCACAATGCTCGCACTCGCCTTTCTCTAAAGCCAGAACCACGTGCCCTTCCCTCAAACAAACAAAGTAATACTCATGTGTATCCAGCTCAGACATGGGACAGGAGCATGAAGGAACACAACGCTTACTCTGCTGTTGACTCATTTCTAATCTTTTTTGCTTTTTAAACTCTTTTAACAGACTTTCAGAGAAAAAGGTATAGAAATTAGAATTTTCTGCACACTGCCAGTTGAAAACTAACTCCTAACAAAGATCTGAGACAGATAATGAGAGAGATAGAGTTTTGACACACACATGCACAGAGTGATCTGAAGATAAATAATCTTGATGATGCACCTGTGGCTCATCTAATTATAGCCTTGCGTCGCAGGTGTGCACCGATGACGTCACTGACCAAGGCTCCCGGTCGATTCTATCAACATGTTTACACACTATATTCACAGCTGGTCACAATTAAAGATGTTCCCAATTCGCTAAGCAGCGCAGCATCGATTGTAGCTTTTGAAAGGGAACTACCATTTACCTTTCTTAAAATGTTCATAGCCATACTTGCACCAATTAAAGCAAATTATTGTCAAGGACACATACCATAAAACCCAACCATAAAACTTTACACTCCCATCAGTGCTTTTATAAGATTATAGCGCTCTTATGCTAAATTTCCCCCATTAGTAAATCTGGCCCATAGTGTCTTATAGACTTAAAGGGTTAGTTCACCCAAAAATGAAAATTAAGTCATTAATTACTCACCCCCATGCTGTACCAACCCCGTAAGACCTTCGTTCGTCTTCGGAACACAAATGAAGATATTTTTGATTAAATTTGAGAGCTGTATCACTACCACATTGGCTCCTAAGGGACTGGCTCTTGACGGCCCAGAAAGTCAATGAAGAAAATGTTTAAATATCCCAAGTGACTAGAATGAGAATTCCTTAGATTTCCACGACGCATGCGCGAGATTTGCGATCTGCTCACATCAGCTTACACCACTTCAGATCGCAATTCTCGCGCATGCGTCGTGGAAATCTAAGGAAGTCTCGTTCTGGCCTACAAGGAAGAAAAGAAATAGTCGAATAAACTCGTTATTTTTGTTTGTTTTTTCGCACAAAAAGTATTCGCGTCGCTTGATAAACATATAGTTGAGCCACGGTAGTCACTTGGAATATTTAAACATTTTCTGGGCCGTCAAGAGCCAGTCCCTTAGGCAGCCAATGTGGTAGTTATACAGCTCTCAAATTTAATCAAAAATATCTTCATTTGTGTTCCGAAGACGAACGAAGGTCTTACGGGGTTGGTACAGCATGGGGGTGAGTAATTAATGACTTCATTTTCATTTTTGGGTGAACTAACCCTTTAACTACTATATATATATATACACAATGTCTCTTGTAGAGAAACTGTTATCTGTGTCTCACACAGTACCTTATCATTGCTTCAGATCGTACCTTGGCTGTTTTTTCGTCAATTTCACTCAGAATCTTCTGATAATATTCTGCTGCATCCTGCTGCTCACAAACTGAAATAAAGAACTTCTTTGGATTCAACTCATTCAAAATTAAAGTGATTTCAGAAAATCTAAGTGTGGGTTTTTTGTCATTTATTTTCGTGCATGTGTATCAGTAAGAATGCTACAGGAAAGATTCATGCACATACTCAACTTACCATTACTAATGTCTAGAGCATTTGTGACTCCATTCGTTTTCACACTGCCAGTCTTGGACTCTAAATTGCTGAATAACTTGTGAAGTTCAAAAGAAACACGTTTTTCCTCCTTTTTTAACCTGTGGAGGAACACAGAATTTGTAATTATTACTATGATAGTGTTATAAAAGATCATGATCGTGCAAGTCAAAGATAAACTCACTCCTTGACAGCTGTCCTGAACTGCTCTGTCATGAAGAGTGTTTGCAACACCGCATTCAAATAACATGTGGCTCCCTGATTCACCAATCCACAGTAGCCTTTAGAACGAATGGGCACTGTAAATATGAGAGGGGAACACAGGTTGAATCATCAATTAAAAATAATATACACTCTGAATGCTAATGATATCGACCTCAATATAAATTATTTAATTTTCATTTATTTCATCTAAATAAAAAAGATCAAATTAAAAACATACTATTACCACATGCTTATAATTCAGAAAAATGTATCAAATAAAAACAAAACAACTAATAAATAAAAGGAATAAAACATGGATAAAAGGAGTAAAGCTTAATATGGAGAAATAATATGTATAAATGTATATATCAGGCCCAAGACACATTTTGTCGGCAGTGGCTAAAAGAAGAGCATCATACTTTCACAAGACACACAATATATATATATATATATATATATATATATATATATATATATATATATATATATATATATATAGGCACAGGAAAACCTTGTTCCCTCTTCCCACAGGCCATTTCCCTCCTGAACAGTTAACACACTTCCCAAGGCATATGCCCTAAGTGCAATACTCCCACTGTTCAGTGCAATATCTTAAACTCAGGTGATATTATATGTAGATATTTTATAATATTCAAACACTGTAAATACGCTCATAATCTGTAAATCTGAAAATGTTTATTCTGACTAAACCCGACTGTGATACTTTTATTCTCATATTTTTTATATTTTAATTTCTTTACTATAATTTGTATTACTATGTTTCTTGTTGTATTTGTATTTGTGCACTGGAAGCCTCAGCACCAAAACAAATTCCTTGTGTGTGCAAGCACACTTGGCAATAAAGCTCTTTCTGATTCTGATGCTAATTAGGGATTATATATATATATATATATTATCAGAGCATGCTGTTACTGGAGATGTTGTTAAGACTTTCTTGATCATGTAAAGAGCTGAGAGTGTAAAGAATCTTGTTTTCTGTATATGAAAACAAACCTCTTCTTTGAGCTGGAGACGGATGCTTTTCCTCTTCTGGCTGATTGTCTTTTACTGGTTTTGTGTCAGATGTTTCACTCGCTGGTCTCTCTTTAAGAGAGTTATTATCAGATGTTCCAGACTGGTTTTTGGATTCTGCTGTGCTAGAAGAAACATCAGGTGTAGACGGATAGTCATTTGACTCCTTATCTATTTCTATATCTTTATCTTCTCTCTCAGTTTGTGAGGGTTTCGCTTCGTTCTCTGGGTTAGAATCATTGGTGTTCAGAGGAGCCGGAGGATCTTGCTCATTGCTGACCGAAGAGTCGTGATTGTTTTCAATGTTAATACTGCTTTCATCAGTGTGCTGACGTGAGGCTACAGGGTTTATCCAGAGCAGATAAAAACATGCAAACAGTTAAAAGAGAAACATTGATAATAACACTTCATTCCATGTCACTTCATCACAGTTTAGAACTTACTTTTAATTCCTGAAACTTCATTCTCCACATAATACGTGTCTCCATGATGGTCTATGTTTTGCTGTGTGTAATTTTCAGCTTTGTTTTGAACACAGGATAAAACATTGTCCAAAGATGTGGAAGTGTCTGCTATTTCAAACATAAGAAAAGAAAATAACACAAATGTCCTTGATCTTGACCTATAGCAAATTGTTGTATATTCTATTTACTGTCTATTAGTTAAAATTGCTGTAAGTGTAAATCAATATATATCAATATAGAGCAATATAAACATAGAAATTAATATAGAACAATATATTGTGTAAATCAATAGAAGATTATATATTGTGCACCTACTCTCAGATGCTGAAGGAACAGTCTCTTTCATCTTTTTTGATGGTCTCTCAAATTGATCTAGTTGACCTGGTACAAAAGAAATAGAATAATAATTTGATTAATTTTTTTAACTTCACAATATTCATACATTTAAAAATATACATATATACTGTATACAGTTACAGTGTGTGTACATATATATATACTGTATATATATATATATATATATATTTTTTTTTTTTTTTTTTTTTAAAGATATTTCTGAATTGTTACCTCCAGATGGTGATGCATGTTCTGGACATTTGTGAGGATTATCTTCTTTTCTTCGCTTTCTATGAGGACTTGACTGAAAACTGTCAGAATCATTCATCCTGATGTCTATGTTTTTGATATATGTAGGCAAAATAATGACTGGCGAATGTTGAATTTTGAGTAAAATGAAGAAGGGGAGTCTTTTCAGCTCTGAAACATTAAAATCTAAAAAAAGAAAGAAAAAACATTCAAGGAAAAAAAAAATTCAATTGCATTGAATTTACATTTTTTTGTTCAAAACACATTAATGTTAATGTTTGCTTTTATAGCTGTTTTATACAACCCCAAATCAGAAAAAGTTGGGACAGTATGGGCAACACAAATAAAAAAAGACAGTAGTGATTTCTAAATGTACTTTGACTTGTATTTCATTGCAGACAATGTGAACACAAAATATTTCATGCTTTGTCTGGTAAACTTAATTTCATTTGTAAATATACACCCTTTCCTGTCATTCAGACCTGCAACACATTCCAAAAAAGGTTGGGACAGGAGCAATTTAGGGCTAGTAATCAGGTTAAATAATGATGTAATTTGAAAAAGGTGATGTCAACAGGTGATTGTGATTATCATTTGGTGCAAAAGCAGCATCCAAGAAAGGTCTAGTCCTTTAGGAGTAAAGATGGGCTGAGGATCGCCAGTTTGCCAACAAATACGTGAGAAAATTATTGAAATGTTTAAAAACAATGTTCCTCAAAGAAAGATATGAAGACATTTGCTTATTTCACCCTCAACAGTGCATAACATAATTAAAAGATTCAAGAAATGTGGAGGAATCTCAGTGCATAAAGGACAGGGGCGCAAGCCTAAGCTGAACAACCGTGATCTCCGATCCCTCAGGTCAGGTGGCTCAATGTTCAAAATGCGACAACGAAGACCCCGTACTGTTGCCCACCTTAAGACTTGTTTGCAGCAACAATGGGACAAAATTACACCTAAAACACTTCATCATTTGATATCTTCAGTCCCTAAATATCTTTTAAGAGTTGTGAAAAGGAATGGAAACATTACAAAGTGGCAAATGTTTTACTGTTCCAAATTTTTTTGAAATGTGTTGCAAGACCCAAAATAGGAATTTTGTTTAAAAATAAATAAATGAATAAATAAATAAAAATCATGAGGAACACATTAAAGTAAGTGCTGGTGTATTGTCTGCAATGAAATACAAATCAAAGTACATTTAGAAATCACTACTTTCTTTTTTTGTATTTGTGTTTTCCATACTGTCCCAACTTTTTCTGATTTGGGGTTGTAAGTTTCTGATGGTCAAGAATTGTTGAAACCATCCAGTTCAACATTCCTAAGTGTTCATCACAAATCTTTGGGCCAAAAAGGCTCTACATTTATTTTCTAATTCAGACAGTTCGTCCATTGACCCATAGTCCACACATACCTTGTAACGGATTGACCTAATTGATTGGGGTGCCAAGCAGGTTTTTAAACCTACTATATTTTGTTTAGTCAGTCAACCTTATAAAGGATTCAGACATTTAAAAACAAACAAAGTAGAACCCTTAATATGTGGATGAAGAATTAACAACAAACAGCAATAGGCTCGATTCACATAAACTGTTATTAGTTTTTGTTGGGCAAGATAACATTCAGTGAGGAAAAAACATTAATGTTTCACAAATGCAAAAACAAAACAAAAAACTTCTACCATTTACAGACCAAGGTCACACACTTCGTCTGCTCGTCACGAATCGTTGATTGGGAATCAAACCTGCAACCTTTGGGTTACCAATCTCACTCTCTGCCCGTGTGCGTAGAAAGTATTCGTCCACGGAAAAGTCCAACGTCAGTGTTGTGTTTGTTAGGCACTAGGCAGGTTTTTTTGTTTGTTTATATTTTCTGTCGCTGTGCAGACTCTTTTATTGTATAATGCAAACAACCCAATAACCAGTCAAATGTGTGTGTGTGTGTGTTTGCTGTTTATATGAGTGTAGTGCCACGACTGCCCCAAAAATAGAATTTAATTCTTAAGAAAGTTTTGTGAATTCAGCCCTTGGATGTTCGATTATCTTGTAAGGAGGACATACAAATAAGAAAATAGGAACACTCCGGGGTCCCATCTCATGTTCTGTCAGTCTGTCTTTTAAAAATATATCCCCTCAGTAAATATTAAAAAAACATCCTTTTTAAGATCAGCTTAGAGCATCTAACAAAACTAACCTTTTTTAAAGCTTCAATGCAATGAGCTTTGCAAACTTCAATTTGACAAAATCCAGGGACTGGTTGCTCCTTTGAAGTGTGCACCGATACGCATGTTGTGCCTCGCAAAGTTCTGACGAGTTATATAGACTTTATATTGTTTCTTATTTAAAATTGGTAAATTGATTGTAAATCTGGCCCAAGGTGAAGATACCACACAGAAAAGATAATATCTAAATCACAACATTATATGTGTACAACTTAAAGGTGCAATGTGTAACATTTTTGAGTATCTATGAACAGAAATGCAAAATGACATCCATAACTATGTATTCAGTGGTGTATAAAGAACTTACTTAATAAACCGTAATGTTTTTATTAGCTTAGAATGAGACATTTATGTCTACATAACCACGGGCATCCCCTTCTATGAAGGTCGACATATTGTGACGTCATGTTTCTACCGCAGCCGAACGCGAACAATCAGCGCTACAGAATGCGTTTCATCATTACCTTGAAAGTACAATATAGTGTACAATATGTAGTTGGACTGTTTCATGTAACTTAGTTCTTCTCTCTTACTGTTTTATGGGTTTGCTATGTGGGGAGAAATGTGCTGGTTACGTTTGTGAGACAATCAGCTGATTACTATTATTACGTATATTATATTAACCCTTTCACGCGTACGATCACACCGGTGTGATCAGTCTTGACTGGTCCCTGGAGCATACGATCACATCGGTGTGATTAGAACGGTCAGCACTTCACGTCAGCAACTGCTAAATTCAAACTTGCTCTCGCGCGTTGGCTGGCGCTGAGCCAGAGACGGACGCACGCAGTGCTATCATATATCACAACTGTAAGGACTTTGCCAGACGACTCGACCCTCCCGTACACAACACGCACACATTTACTCACTTACCCCAGTGGCATCGAGTTACAAGACACTTATGACACCAATGGAATGTGTGGCCGAACAAATGTCTCTGAACAAAGAGAAATAAATTTCTGTTGTTTTAAAGACTTTTAACAAAGGTATTCAAGGGTTTTATGTATGTGTGTTCTTCCCCATGTCACAGTGAAATATCTTTGTTTTGTAAATAGAAATTAGAAATACCTTCTTCATGCATTTTAAACATAAGTGTATATTCCTTTAATATAACATAATGTTCCTTGATGTCTCCAGAATGCTTATTGAATGAAACACCCGAATATGCACAGAGATGTAAAGTAAAGTGTATTTTTAATATGTTTTGCCGACAATGAAGATCAAACGGTTTTACTATTAACCTCCGTGAACACACCCCCTCCCACGAGGAGCGCGAGCTGAGGAACAAAGGACAATAAACCAAGAGTTCCCGCGGGCAACGTCCATCTCCCTGATTGGCTCAAGCCAACAGGAAGGGGATGGATTTCGCCATGGGGATAAAGGTAGCGCGCCGGCTCCGCCTCTCCCCTTCTTACATTCTGACCTTCTCAGAGAAACATGTAATGCTCGACATCTCCTCACGGAGATCTGATCCGACCATGGATCTTTTCTTTTGTTCGTCTAAAAGTTTCGTTTTTTCCTCAAGTGGACTACCAAGTTCGTCTCCCAGGAAAGGAAGCGGACTTTGCCGAACTATTTCCTCGGGTAACGTCACACCAAAGACTTTAAGCCTTTCAAACACTCGCGCCGAATGCCAACGAACGCCACGTGACTCCCCACGGAACAAAGGAGCCACGCGCAAGCGACCAACCATGCACGCGCCGGGACGGGCCGTGCAAAAACCCTGCATTCGCTCCACGTGACGCGCGCACGCAGGACAGCACCTCCAGTCGACACGCGGCCCGAACGGCCGAGCAACGAGCCCGCGACTCACACAGACCAAATATGCCCTGCAAGTATACCTTCTTTTAGAGCTTCTAAGAAGCATAAAGAAAGTGTTTTTTCGTGATGTTCAGAAAGGTTAACTGACTGTTTTGGTGAATGTAACTCTCTCTTTCTCTACAACTCACTCTCTCTCACTCTATCTCTCTCTCCAACTCAAACGCGTATCCATTGTCTAAACGCCCTTCGCCGTCTTAGTTTGTGTTTTAATGTTTGTAAATACATGTATCATTGTAACGTAGTAAATGCTTAAGTAGTTGCTTTATTAAATACAATTATGCTCACTTTGACTGAATCACTGTCTTGCTCATGATACCAGTCGATGAAGTGTCGACAATAAGCTACACGCTTTACAGAACTAAACATACCTAAGAGGGTATTTGTTTATAGAGCAGGAAAGCTAAATTCTTGTGGCCACAGAATTTGTTTTCACAAGCTCTATAACTTAATTGAGCTAATTGATTTTGCCTGTCTTGTAAAACGTGGTCCTTGCAATTAATAACAATTAATTTGTGGTTAATTGCGGGGATGCACATGTATGCATATGGGTAAAATTAATGAGCCTCCCTAAATGGGAGATTTATTAATATGTAAGACCGGTCTGATCCAAATCTTTATGAATAATTATTAATTGTCAATTATTCATTATGATATGCAAATTCCCCCTTGATCAGACCCGACCAGAGTCTTTACACAACAATTGAGTGTTTTCAACCACACAATGTTTATTTTAGGTTTCAGACATTTAAATACACATAAGTACTAGCAAAACAATGATTTTGAGTTCGTAAAATACACACTCTGATGTCTATGGGAGCGGCAATAATAATCCTTTCAATTATAATAAGACGACACGTTTTATTCATATCAGATACACATTGTGTAAGTAGCTTAACATTTGATCCTATTCTTCTCCCAGTTCACCGGCCACTTACTATCATGTATTTCGTGAGAAGTGGAGGAATTGACGTTATAAATCCAACAGATCCGATTCTCTGAACTGAAAAAGAAACTAAAATGGCGCCGCCCATTGTGCATACAGCTCAACTAACGCGATCGTTATAAAGACGTCTAAACAACAAAACCCATCCACTTGCACATATTTGACAATCTGAATATCACTGTTTCATGTTATAGCTAATACATTTGTGAATATTTTTAATAAAAAAGGAAAAATGACATAAAAGCAGATCCTCATTCATTCCGCGCTCTGTTCTGGTTGTGCTGTGTCACGTGACAAGCAATTTCGCGTCACCATGGAAACATTAAAGCGACAAGTTCTAAATAACGGTCGCCTTGAAAAACTCACGCTGGGGGGTCAGTTAGAATATTTTAAACTTACGTGTGAAAGGCTTAAGACCCTTGATCCTCACCTGACTATGGCTTTGTAAACCTTATCCATGATGTGGTTTATAATGGACTGTGGTACAGAAACAGTGACAATATTACACACTCTTGTCTTACTCTGGCAATTCTCTGCTGTCTCCAGGCGATATGTTTGTCCCGTTTGAGCCACCGTAGCTTCTTCAAAAGGGAGGGGTGAGCAGTGGGCTGAGCCCTTATTGCAAACTCGCAACCGAACCGCTAGATCTCGCTAAAATCTACACACTGCACCTTTAACTTCTATAAAGTTTTCCAGATAACACAGAAAACAATACATTTTGATTACAATTTTCCCCAAATGAAATATTGATATTAGGTTTGGGTTAGCTGTATATTTGTGTATTGCAAGTATTTGATTGCTCGACCAAATTCAATGATGTAATAAAAAAATTAAAAACATATATATATATATATATATATATATATATATATATATATATATATAATGTATAGAACTTACCTTGCAAAACAAAATGTCCCCGTATGGTTGGAACACATTTGAACCTGCATTCCAATCAATACACATAAGATAATCATACGTTAGTAATCCCATTAAAATAACAGTACATGGCATTATATAATTCTTACAGAAGCTGTTGCTAAAATGGCACTTACTGTGTTTGGTTTACTTTCCCAACCTCTGGAAATACAGTGTTATAGAACGAGTATCTGGTTTTGATTGCAGGTTGATGTACACATGGCTGTAAATGTTTTCGGATCACAGTAATAATCATTTCCTTCTAGAGAGACACATAAAGCAACAAGATACAGGCACATTTATTTGAAAACACAATATGGCAAATCCCTAACTAACCTGATCCATGGCAGGTTTTACTCAGATCACAAACAGATACTGAACAAATCAACTGTGAGTTAATTTCAATGGGAGAATGATTTACACTTATTTCAAACTTCTATAATCAATCTATAAAATATGAATAAAACTTGAGTCTATTTGTTAAGTGGTTGGAATTTGTTGAAAACTGTGGAGACGAAGAATATAGCCTAATTAATACAAAAATTAATACAGTGCAACAATAATGTTGTAGAAACAAAAGATTTAGATTAAAATTACTGAGCCAAAAGAAAATGCATAGACTCCGAGGAGAGGAAGAACAATATTTAAAAGCATTTCAAGTCATTGCTTTTTAAACAGAATAGGCTACTCCATGCACTTTCACTTTCTAATTATTTTCAAAAAATATTATTTTTTTATTATTTTCATTGTACAAAAAACAGTGAAACTCACTTTAGTGAAAAGTTCTTCAGTTCATCTTTCGTAAGTTCTGGTTTCAGTGCTGTCATCTTATGTCAAATGTTGTACGTAAAGCTGTACAAATGTAGCTTGAAGAAGAACTCCGCCCTAAATGAAAAAAAAAAAATCACGTGATTTTTAGAATCCGAAAGGAAAGAGAAACTGTCTCTGCGACAAAGACTTCAACGGCCGTTGCGCACCTGGAAAACTAGCTATTCATCATGTCTAGTGTCGAGAAGCAATTTGATGGATCTGAAAAGGACATTCAATTCGTGAAACAGCGCGGCGATATTGGTAAGTGTGTTAAACCTTCCGTTGGTCTAAAATAAAAAAAAAAAAGCCTGCAGCTAAAGTGGTTTGGTGACGACGAGTTTTTTTTTTTTTTTTTTTTTTTTTTTTTTTAAACCAAGCACAAAAAGGAAGTGTCTTAATATCACATTTGGGTCTGAAACAGTGTTATTTCGCAAACTGCTGGTATGTAATTCCGTATGTTTATGCGTCGAAACCTTCATCTACCTGCCTATTTGCGTTTACATCATTCAGTTTCGAAGCGCTGGAAACGGCCATAGAGAGTAAAAGAAAGGAAACGAACGGCACACGAACAGCTAAAACATGCAGAAAAAAAAGTTTACAATCCAATTTCAAGTGTTTTATTGGAAGTGTAATCTATTAAATGCAATTAATAAATCATCTAAGGACATTAATTGTGACTTTTATAATATGCAGGGGCAGGGTTTCATTAAATTGTAGGGCTTGTTTTGTTTGTTTTATAGAGAGTTTTATGGAGACTACTCGTCCTTATTATGTGACAATGAAATGTCTACAAATGTATAAAACTGATCTGAGATCAGGTAAAAACCATGGGTCCATCCATATCTTCATTCTTCATATCTTACTTAAAGGGATACTCCACCCAAAAATGAAAATTCTGTCAAAATTTACTCACCCAAAAGTTTCTTTGTTCTGTTGAACACAAAGGAGTATCCCTATAATAACTGAGATGCCAGATCTTCGACCATGATAAACGCATTTGTGGATTTTTACTTTTTTTACTGCGTGTTCTTATGTTCTTTGGAAAGGGCAGACATATCGATGCTCGAAACCATGACAAGCAATGCTGCGATTGCTGGCGGCAAGACAGTAACGTATAACGAAATCATATTTAAAAATAAATACAAGCTAGAACAAGCAGGGGGAGATTAAGGAATAATAAGAGGAGAGCATAGAGGATTTTTTTCAGTTAACTTCTGACGGACAAGATGAGATTTCAGCATGTTGGCAGTGTTTAAGCTGTGTAATTTCCATCAGATCCATATGATGATGATCCAGATGTTTTAAGGGCTCGTTTATCCTGTGGTCACGTCACTGGTCCATATACACTGACTGAATACTGCAGAATACTGCTGACTGATGTAAGTCTACTTGTTTTATATCCTAAGCAGATTTTACTTTTAAAAACGGTTTTCCTTTACATTTTTTGAACGTTTATTATTTTTGTTATTATTTAAAAAAAAAAATGTTTTTCTATTTTCCAATGTACTGTGTACAATATTGAGATGATAGTACTGAAATATCAGTACAATATCTTGATAATATTATTGCTCAAAATGATTAATTGCAGGGTAAAGCCGAGCTGAGATGTCCTTTGTGTAGTGAACAATGGTCTTACACTGAAGTCCGTACATTAGCCAAACTTACACCACAAGAACAGCAATACTTTGAAGAAACACTAGCCAACAACGCTACCAGAAAGATAGTAGACATCAAGAATGTAAGTATGTTCCCTTTCAAAGTGGTCTCTCATAATGCTTGAAACACGCTTTGGGGGAAAACTGATTTGTGCAGGTTTGTGCAGCTACACAAGCCTATGGCATTTCAGCCCGCCATAATGGGCAGAGCCGACTGACTATACAAGTCGTCGCCGTGCCATTTCATCCGAATCTTTTAGATCATCACCTTGCTGGACTTTTACAAAAGAAGATAGAAGAATCCTGCTACTTTCCGTAGAAGATCCGTGAGTATGATTGCGAGTATGGATCACACTGAGTATTCAGAGGCTAGCGGCAGCTTTCAAAGAGGGGGTGTCCTTCCCTGCAAAGCTTGCCATAGCTTGCTCTTGATGGCAGCAGCCTCCTCTGTTGGACCACTGGGCCTGCTTCACATGCGGATCCTACAGTATTAGCTGAAAGCCGAGTCCTATCCTACGCTTGGCATCTGGGTCCTTTGTGCTAGTGTTGTTTTTGGCGGCCTAGTTTTAGTCTAGTCTTTGTGTTTCTGTCGACTAAAAGTCTGAGCATTTAGTCTTATTTTAGTTTGAATTAGCCATTACTATTTTCGCCTAGTTTTAGTCGACAGAAACTGATGACATGTAGTCTAGTTTTTGAGAATTGTATTTTAAAATCTTTTTAGTAATGCAGTTCTATTTAACCCAGTCAATATAGTATAAGTACCTAGTTGTGTAGACAAAGCCAAAACCTTCTTTTTGCCAAACCCATTTCAAACAAGGTTATCTTATATTATTGTTACCTTAGACTCAAGAACACATCCATTCCAGATACAAAAGACACTCTGATTTGAATTTACAAAATACTTGTTTTGTGGTCCGTGGTGTTTTTTCCCATTTCTCCCCATATTTTTCCACAAAACATGCCATTTTCTTTTCCACTTGTTTTTCCAAATGTTGTTTCTTCTCATTCTCCCAAAGACGAACCCCGGCTGGCCGGCCATCGGTCCCTTTCTCAGTGTCAGATTTAACTTTGTCGTGGTTTACTCTAACTCACGCAGCGGCATCTGCTAAATAACGCTGCGAGTGTAGCATGAGGAAATGATGTCGTCTGCGCATATGACCTGATACCCTGAGTGAGACGCAGGAAAGTGCAAAATAATAATAATAATAACGCGACTAAATGTTACAATGTTATTGGTCAACGAAAATGAAGAGACATTTTAGCATAGTTTTTATTTTGTAAACCACATTTGGTCTCGTTTGTATTCGTCAACAGTATTGCATTATTCATTTAATTATAGTCATCGGTCACATGACCAGTATTTACGTTGCGTCTCGTCTCGTTTTTGTCACGTGACAAATGTTCCTTGACGACAATATTTAGATTTTTGCAAATCTACTTTGCCTTATGTGGAACTTATGTGGAGCGCTTTAGCCAGTTTCAGTGGGCTCTGAATGCCCAGTTGGAGTGAGGGATTAGGGGAATGTCCTCCTGGGCTTGGTCCAGCAAAGTGTCCATTGGAGATATTTGTATGGCAGCTGGCTGGTCTTCGCCATCTTTGCTGAGGCTCTAGCCCCATGGCCTAAACCTTACTAGTTAGCCTATGCTGCTTAGAGCCCTAGGACGAGGCTTGTAGGACAGCTTCAATGTGCGAGACCATTTCAAAAGGGAATGACCAGTTTCCTGAGATAACGGGAACAAGCATTGAGTACCCTCCCAGCAAACACAGAACGTTCTCCTAACCTTCCCGAATGGTCCCATGAGGTTATTTTTTTGGGAACCAAACAAGAACAGTATAGGAACGTTCCATGTAGGTTATTTTTAGGTTCCATTTTTATAACAAATCAGACTTCAGTATTCTGAAAAAATGAAGTTTATCCTCCAAATCTGTTTCATGCAATGATATATTCCCTTCATCTTTGGGAACCTAGGGATTTGGTTACGTCAGTAACTGGAGAGTTTTCTACAGCTTGTTATTCTTACATACAAAATTATGTTTAAGGTTCACAAGTTCTTTCTGTCTCTTCAGTGTCCTGGTTGCGACTGGTTGATTGAGAGATCAGACTCATCTAATCTCAGTGTGCAATGCACCGTTTGCTCCGCAAATAAGGGCAAAACCTTTCTGTTCTGCTGGCAGTGTCTGAGAGAGTGGAAAGGTCATCAGCCTCGATCTGATAGATGTGACAATGACGGCTGCAGCAACAAAGATCTGGATCTACTGAGAGATTGTGCTACTATTACTCTACCATCTGTAAACAACATTGAATGTCCAGCGGTTCGTGCTTGTCCAACATGTGGTTTGCTGATTAACCACAACACAGAGAAATGCAAAAATATTTTGTGCTCTCGGTGTGATGTTGAGTTTTGTTTTGTCTGTCTCAAGCTCACACCTGACTGTCTGGCGACAAGTGATTTCTTTATTCTGTGCTCAGATGGTGTAGCTCCACGACAAACTTCATTTCCATTTTGGAGAGATAAACAATAAATTACCAACACAGTTGCAGTTCTGTGGTACAATACTATTTAGAAAGTATGTGTAGTATAATAAGTAACAGCTGAAGACGCACCTCCTCTGCAAGCATGTTCCTCATGTAGGTCACAGTGAAAAGAAGTATGTGATAAATGAAATAAATGCAATGGCGTTATCATTGTTTCAAAGTTTTTCAAGCTTTTTTATTGTTGCTGTTTAGCGAATTATGCTGTTCTAAATGTAACATTGTATGGCAATTAAGAATAGTATTGTATTCATAAAAATGCTTGTTCTGCAATTTATTTAGACTTACAACATAAGCATGAAACCCATCAAGCACGTACAGTAGTCTCTCTATATTTCATGCTTATGAATTGTAGCTTATTAAATATTTGCTTCATTCAAGATAATGTGCATAAAACGTGCCATTTATTATTAGTTTATTGTGCAATGTAAGAAACTTTGAGTCTGAATATTAAAGAGATTTTTGTTATGAATGAGTATGTATTCCTGACAAATAAAGAAAACAATAACAAGGTTACTGTGACATATATTCAGTCATTTCAAGAATTGATTATCAATTATTAAATCAAGAAGGCATGTTGTTTACTTATTCTGAGTTTCTAGATTCCAGTGACACCAAGGGAGATTTCTATTGACATGGATGCAATTTCCACAGGGGTCTCACCATTATCCACCATTATTACCCCTTTCTGCTTTTGATTTATTTGATACTACAATTGGGAAAATCTGTGTCGCCCCTGGAGTTTTAAATGTTAATAACACAATTTGTTCTCCAATTCAAAAAGACACTGGTATACCAGGCCCAACTGTATTGTTTATTGGAATAGACTGGTTGGAAGAAGGCCATGTGGACTTTACCAAACAAATATTTATTGGTAAATAAAGATAAGGAAATATATATTTTTTTATATTACACAGATCTACACACAGTAAATGCATTTCTTGTTAAATTTAAAAAAAAAAAAAAGTATATTGATTTGAACTATAATAAATAAATAATAATAAATATTTTTTGGTTTTACTAATATCCCCTCAAATAAAAGGAAATAATAGCCTACAATTTTATAAATGTAATTAATGTTTGCTAAATTTCATATAGGCCCAGCCTACATAAATGTAAATACAATATAACCCAACCTTCGTTTTAGGTTATTGAAAAAGACATTTGTATATCAAGACTATTTTTCTTTCACATATAATAAGGAAGCAATGGGCTTTATGCCCAGCTGCACTACTCCCTGAACTTCAGCCAGCTTCTTGTTTCCTGTCTGCCATTATTGGCCAAATTGATTAATTCAGGTGTGTCTGATTATTGTTGCCATGACTACTGAGGTCAGGCACACCTGGATTAATCAATTTGGCCAATAATTGCAGACAGGAAACAAGGAGCTGGCTGAAGTTCAGGAAGTAGTGCAGCTGGGCATAAGGTCAATTAAAACTGTTTCTATTTGTGAGTCATTTAATTTATTTACATAATGTTTAGCCTATGCCTTGGCTGTTTATGTTTCTGTGGGGTTTTTTTCTGTCTATACATTGACTTTGTTTATTTGACGTAAAACACACACACACACACACACACACGAAAAACTCATCAGAATCCTCGGTAAAACTTCGACATTGGAGTTTCATTCCGTCATCAAGCAGGAATTAAAGTTTGATTAGTGAACCGAACCGACTGGTTCCAGAGAACCGGCTGTACAACATTAGCCTAATTCATTATGAAAAAAATAGGCTACAAACCCTGTACTTAAGTTGAAGTAGAGAAACACTAATATAATTACTCAAAGAGAAGAGTGGGTAATGAGATAGAGCTCAGTCAGATATTATAAATTATAGGAGCACACTTGATCTAAGAATAATTAGGCTCCTCACGGATTGAGAACGGAAAAAAGGTTAATCTTCTGGATCAGTCGAATTCTCAAATGAACCATTTGATGTTATCTGTGAACAGTGATTGAAAAGAAGCTCTAAAGATTCGCTCATGCAACGGATATCGGTTCTCAGAGAAGATTTCGAAATGAACCAGAAACAGCTTTTTTTCTTGAAATGAAATGAAAATGAAATTGAAATGAAATGAAAATGATTTTTTTCTTAAAATAATTCTCCGAAAAACAGCTAGCCTCTTCGCTAACTAACACACAAAATACCATTGGAATGCTACTTCCGCCGCGTCACCGGAAGTTTCACCCACTTTATTTTTTACAGGAGCGCCCTCCCTCGGAAACTTGTGGATATGCTAGCTAGCCCAACCTGTATTAACATATGTTGTTCACTTTCGTTTTTATTCAATAACCTAGGGATAAAATGTAGCCTATATAAGTTTAAATTCACAGACATCAAAATTTTAGACAGCAGAAGAAAAATATTGTACATTCAAAAAATAACTTTCATACCTCAAAATCAGTTTGTTGTTTACAACTTCTGCTAAAGTTGAAAATCTCTCGCTTCTTTTCCACAGATAGAGAGAGAATCCTGCTGGGCATGTACAGATTAAGTGTCATCAGCTTGTTTCTGATTGAAGGAATTGAATGTGTTACAATTGCCACCGGTCTCCCTATTCAAATACATTTTGATTAACTGGTGTGGTGTTGTTTGTGCGTTAGCCTAAAGACCAGTTTAATTTCGCAAAACAATAATTTCAGGGACATTGTGAGACATCCTACACCGACTCCGAACACATTTTGTTCTATCATGTTTGCCTATGAAAGACACACGTGTAGCCCCGCCCAGTTCTGCGGACTGCGTTTTGTAGTAGCCTACGTGTAAACTGTAGGACCCGAGCCCCGCGCATTATAATCACGTGCTTTACAGTATCCGATCCGATAGAGAGAAAAAGAAACCTAGATGCGACAAGTTGGCTAATCGTGCTCATGAAAGTTATGTTTTTTTAGTTTGATAAATGTATCATGTCCAGTCACGAGAAGCGATATGTTGGATGGGAGAATGACATTAAATTTGTGAAAAAGTGTTGCGATATTGGTAAGTTTGTTATCATATCTGTTCTCTAGCCTATGTCATGTCTTCATGTACCACTAATATGGGCCTGAATTGTTTTATTGCAGAAAGACATTTTCATCCAAACCTAGTTTTAGGCAGACGATTAGGCTATTTTTTATTTTCAGCTTTCTCTGAGTTGTGAGCTTTTTTATGAACTGCTGGATTTGTTTTTCATACAACTTAAGTCACATATTCAATTAATTTAAAAAAATTAAATAAAAAAAAGGTCTACGTCCATTCATAGCTATTTTTAGCGACAATGTATGCAAGCCTATTCCCAAACCACAGGTGTGTTTAAGTCACTAAATGGAGAACAAACCTGACATAAGACTAAATGTTGGCAGTGTTTAAGACATATTTCCCCTTCAGATCCATATGATGATGATCCAGATGTTTTAAGAGCTGAATTATCCTGTGGTCACGTCACTGGTCCACAGACACTGACTGAATACTGCAGAGTACAGCTGGATCAGGTAAGTGTACTTTTATATGACCAGTTTTATCAAAAAGTACAGGAGGATTCGGAGTGATTATAACTTTTGCTGCTTGAGTTTTGGTACTAAAATATAAGTAGACCTATGTATTTAGCCTACTATAAATATAATGTTAAGATCAGTATCTGGATAAGTCTGTTAACAGTATCATTTAGCAAAATAAATCTTTGTTGGTTGCATTTGACCTAACAAGTGGCCCGTCCTATACATTCAAAATATGCATCAAGCCCTTTTGTTGCAATTTATTTAGAAGAAATCGTACTATTAAACTTAAAGCTTCATTCAATCTCGACCTAAGAAGTGACTCTGTCAGAGATTCCCTTTGTTTGGACTTTGTTTGTTTTGCACTGTCTAATCTGTCGTCATGGACACTAATGTGGTTTGTTATTCAGCTCAGGTGTACAATATTTAATTATCCTGATTTTCCTTTGCATTTAAATTCCCTTGTTTCAGTTCTATGTGTTCGGGTCTCATCAGTGTTATGGCTGTGTTTGTTTGCCTACTTATCGTTGGAAATACCTGTGGAAACGTCTCGGTTACGGATGTAACCCTCGTTCCCTGAGTAGGGAACAGAGACGTTATGTTGGATGACGGAGAATGGGGGTTTCTCATAGAAAGCCAATCCTCTTCGAGTATTTAAAAACGAGCCAATGGCATGAAAATGCCTTGGGGCTGCAGAATTTGCATAGCGTATCTCCGCCCCACCTCGTGGGTATAAAAGGAGGAAGCAGACGCAACCGCAGTATGTCTTCGCTGAGGAGCCGAGACTGAACTTAGGCCTCTACCCAGCGGTACAGCAGAAGTGGCAGGAAGACGTAATTTCTCCGTTCCCTACTCAGGGAACGAGGGTTACATCCGTAACCGAGACGTTCCCTTTCGTAGTCACTCCGAGTTACGTCGGATGACGGAGAATGGGGGTCAGTGCCATCACGCCACCTTCACAGCTGTCTTCCAGTGCCCTGAGAAAGTCTGAACTCCTGTCAACTTAGCTTACGGACAAGGAGTCCTACTTCAACACAGGAATACCAAGGTACACTGGGGAGCATATCCCGGGAGGAATATGCCGCAGTACGCCTACCCGTAGGGAGGACTTAAGAATACACATATGGCCCAGGGGGCTACATATGGGGGAACACTGGAGTCACCAACCTGGGGGTGGCTAGAAACTTAACTCCAGGAGTGGCATGGTGGCTTGCCGAGGGAAGACACATGCTCAGAGAGGCTTACAGTGGAGAATACACATGTGACAGTTACCAGAGGGAACCATACACACGGAGGCATCTAGCCGACGTCCAGAGCAACGATACTGGCGCCAGCATCAGCAGTGCTGGAGGACTCAGGGCTTCAACGGAAGGCTCAGCTGAGGAAAGTATCGCACTTATCCAGTCCGTGGAGTAGAATGGCGAGCAAGCGAAGACACCTAAGCGGGTCCAGTACTGGCCGGGTGAGCGAGTACAAGAGACGTCACGGGCTCCACTCGGAGGTTATAGAATCTCGCGAATGTATTAGGTGTCGCCCAGCCTGCAGCTCTGCAGATGTCTGTTAGCGAGGCGCCATGCGCTAGAGCCCAAGAGGAAGCCACACTCCGGGTGGAGTGGGCCGTCACACCAAGGGGGCATGGTCGACCTTGCTGCTGGTAAGCTAAAGCGATGGTGTCCACTATCCAGTGAGACAGCCGCTGCTTTGAGAGAGCCCTTCCCTTCTGGCTCCCCCCATAACAGACAAAGAGCTGGTCTGAGGTCCTGAAACACTGCGTTCTGTCTACGTAAGCACGGAGTGCACGTACTGGACAGAGCAGTGCCAAGGCTGGGTCTGCCTCCTCCAGGGGCAGCGCTTGCAGGTTCACCACCTGGTCCCGGAAGGGAGTGGTGGGAACCTTGGGCACATATCCAGGCCGGGGTCTCAGGATCACGTGAGAGTAAGCCGGCCCGAACTCCAGGCACGCTTCGTCAATGGAGTGTGCAGGTCCCCTACCCTCTTGATGGTGGCCAGTGCAACCAGGAGCGCTGTCTTCATCGACAGGAACTTAATCTCAACTGATTGCAGAGGCTCGAAGGGAGGCCTCTGCAGGGCACTAAAAACCACTGAGAGGTCCCAAGAGGGTATGAGAGGAGGGCGAGGAGGATTTAGTCTCCTCGCCCCCCTCAGAAACCTGATGATCAGGTTGTACTTCCCCAATGACTTACCTTCGACTGCTTAATGGAATGTGGCAATTGGAGCCACATAAACTTTCAGGGTGGAGGGAGACAGCCTTCGCTCCAACCCTTCTTGCAGGAAGGAAAGCACGACACTGACCGAGCATCTCCGGGGGTCTTCTCTGCAAGAAGAGCACCAGTCGACGAAGAGGCTCCACTTCAACGCATAGACGTGCCTAGTGGACGACGCTCTAGCGGAAGTAGCCGCCACTGCAGGGGGCAGGGTACTCAAACCTGCCTCGTCCCATCCAGGAGCCACACGTGTAGCCTCCACAGATCGGGACGAGGGTGCCACAGAGTGCCCCGTCTCTGAGAGAGGAGGTCCTTCCTCAGAGGAATTGGCCAAGGAGGTGCTGTTGCGAGGAGTATGAGTTCGGAGAACCAGGTCTTGGTGGGCCAATAAGGGGCTACCAACAAGACCTGCTCCTCGTCCTCCTTGATCTTGCACGGAGTCCGTGCGAGAAGGCTCACTGGGGGAAACGCATATTTGCGTAGACCCCGTGGCCAGCTGTGCGCCAGTGCATCTGTGCCAAGGGTGCCCTCGGTCAGAGAGTAATACAGGGCGCAATGGGATGAGTCGGGGGAAGCGAACAGATCTATCTGTGCCTCCCCGAACTGGTCACAAATCAGCTTGACCAACCGGGGATGGAGTCGCCATTCGCCGGAGACAGGCCGGATCCGTGATAGCTCGTCGGCAGCCAGGTTCCGCTCTCCTGAAATGTAAATAGCACGAAGGGACCTCAGGTGCTTCTGACTCCATAATAGGAGGTGGCGTGCGAGTTGCGACATCCGACTTGAGCGTAGACCACCCTGACGGTTGATGTACGCTACTGTTGCGGTATTGTCTGAACGGAAAAGTACGTGTCGACCCCTGAGCAGTGCTCGAAAGCGATGCAGGGCCAGGCATACTGCCAACAACTCGAGGCAATTGATGTGCATGAGGCGCTGGGGCCCTGTCCAGGACCCCGCTGCCGCATGACCATTGCACATGGCTCCCCAACCCGTGGCAGATGCATCTGTGGAGACAACAACATGCCTGGAAACTCGCTGAAGAGGGACACCTGCCCTTAGGAAGCTGAGGTTCGTCCACGGGAAGAAGGTCTGATGGCAGGTCGGAGTTACTGGAACTCTGAGCGTACCGCGATGCCATGCCCACCTCGGGACTCGATCGCGAAGCCACAGCTGAAGCGGTCTCATATGAAGCAGTCTGAGCGGCGTCACCGCGGCTGCGGATGCCATATGCCCCAGGAGCCTCTGAAAGAGTTTCAGGTGGACCGCGCTCTTGCCCTCGTAGACAAGTCATCAGTGAGCATCTCCATGCTGAGAAAAGAGATCCTCTGAGAGGGCTGTGGTGCCTTCCTGCGGCCTCCTCCACGACGCGGCCCGGGTGAAGGCTGCTGCTAAGGCCGTGCAGGAGGGAGGGGAGCCGCAGGGGAGCCTGGGAGAGGGGGGCGTCAAGCAGACGAGTCCGCTCGGTGTCCCGCACATCTGCCAGGTTGAGCCAGAGGTGGCGCTCCTGGACCACATTAGTGGCCATCACCTGACCCAGGGAGCGTGCGGCCACTGACCTCGCTCTCCGGGCGACTAAGTTCATCGAATGCCCCTGAGTCAGTCCCGCCCTCGTGCATGTCTCTGAGCAGCTTTGCCTGAAAAACCTGCAAGGTGCTCATTGCATGCAGGGCAGCGTGTACCCAAGGGCAGCCGCGCCGTCGATAGGAGGAAAGGTGGGGGAGGCTGACGATCGCTCACGGGAGGTCAAAGGAGCCTTCCAAGTCTTCGTCAGCTCCCCATCCAGCTCGGGGAAGAAAGGAATTGGGGTTGGCTGTGGCCGTGAGGCAGCAGCCTTGCCCAAAAACCAATCCTCCAACCGTGAGCAAACGGGGCAGGGCGGAGGGTTCCACTCCAGCTCGATTCTCACGGCGGCCCGAGATAGCATGGCCGTCATCTCGGGATCAAATACGGGCAACGCTGGCGCTCCCGAGGGAGGCAACGCAGCCGCATCCTCACTTCCCGAGGAGTTTAGCCCACCTTGTGATGCCGCGATCGACATGCCATCCTCCTCCGGAGCACCGAATGAAACAGACGGCACCTGCAAAGAGGCGCTCAACTTAATCATAGCAGCACTCGCGGGTTGCAACGCCACTGAGGGGGGTGTGGACCGAGGAACAAGCGTCGGGTTTTGATTCCACACCGTTACCGTCAGATCACCCTGTCCGCGAGCCGACGAGCTCCCCCTTGAAGAGGAAGCAGATCGGGTAGCGGACGCGGGGACTCTCACTGTTAGATCATTGAGTCTAGATCTCAGCGTTGCGATGGTCATGTTCCCACAGAGAGAACATGACTCATCCACGAGCGCTGCTCTTGCGCGTTCTAAGCACAGACACACAAAACAGCGCTCGTGCCCATCGGAGGAAGACAGAAATCGACCGCACCCAGAAGAACACGGGCGAACCATCTTTAAAAAGACGTGCCACGTGCAGCTCTTTCAATAGAGAGGAGGAAATTCACTCTTCAGCGCTGAGGCAACCAGGGAGAAGCGCAAAGTCTGGCAGACCACTGCACAGATCGCAGGCAATGCAGAATCTCGCTGGTTACCGCCGTCACACCAACACTGAAGAGGACGCTCTTCTCGAAGAGGTAGTACTCAGTATAATGGTTTGTGGAGTGAAGATGTCTCTTGGCTCCGAAGCGAAAACATACTGCGGTTACGTCTGCTTCCTCCTTTTATACCCACGAGGTGGGGCGGAGATACGCTATGCAAATTCCGCAGCCCCAAGGCATTTTCATGCCATTGGCTCATTTTTAAATACTCGAAGAGGATTGGCTTTCTATGCGAAACCCCCATTCTCTGTCATCCAACATAACGTCTCTGTTCCCTACTCAGGGAGCGAGGGTTACATGTACATCCGTAACTGAGACGCTTCGAATGATGCATTGCTCTCATCTGTATTTCTCTCATCTGTATGACCAATATCGACAGAGTATTTTAAAGGACAAGTTCAGTATTTTACAATTAAAGCCCTGTTTTAAGATCATTTCTGATTAAATAGAATGGTTAGGATCGTTTTTTAGACAAATGGAACAATCATTCATAAAACGCATAAAACTTTAGTTTACAAAGACGTGAAACTCACCGAGTGGTCTGGGGTGTTCACCACGGCCGCATTAACCATAGGGCTAGGCGGGGCTTAAGCCCCGGGGCCCAAGCAAGGAGGGGGCCCGTGATTGGCTGTGGAGCAGATACTGCAAGCCATCTGATTACCAAAGCCTTACCACGCAACGTCCCCCACAAATTAGCCCTGTTATTTAGTTGCACTTTGCCTTATATTCCATGCATTATCATGGAATCATTATCATTAATAGAGACGTTCGCAAAGACCCGCCTTTTTTAGGTACTATGTGACGGCCGGGCCACGAGCCAGGCGGCTCTCACGAGTCACGCGCATCATGTTCTCATGCACTCACGCAGTGAAAAATACTTCGCGGGGCAAAGACTAACGTTACACCGAGTGATTACGAGAGAGAGTTCAGAGCAGCTTACTGTTGATATGAAACAAAGTCTCAACTTTCAAATATTGTCATTTAAGTAATTTAAACATTACCGTTTTCAAGTTCATGTCCACCGACTGACAGCTTTGTTGTCGGACAAAGTTGCGTATTCGGCGTTATGATTGGCCAGGCCACCTGTCATTCAAACCCCCGTAGGCATGCAGGGCCAACGGCTCTGAGCAGGGCATGGTAAATTGAAACGTCAGGTTTTAATTTGATATAACAAATATATTTATTCTATATTTAACTTGTGAACGACCGACCTGCTGCTGCACGTAGGCCTATAGATGATTGCTGCCTGCGCCTTATTAGAATAGGATACATCAATCAATAAATCGCCTTTAGCCTACTCTACTCTTCATTCTAATCTAGTCTATTCTTAAAACACAGCGTCATCGACCCCACAAACTTTCGGTAAGTTTGAATATGAACTTGATGGATGTATAATTTAGCTTTCTGTGTTTGATTAAACTCTATATTCGCCTAAAGGACTGGCGATAATATATCCGGTAGAAATATTTAAATTTTGCTGCGCCATCATGATGTAAGTTTAAACGCGTTTTTAAACGTTGTGGTTTGGATACAAATTATTTCAAACTGCTCAGGCACAGTGAGCAGCGGGAGAATTCATTTTGTAAATACTGGTTTTGAGACCAAGGTGAACCATAGACTGTGGTGAACTTGAGACGGTTTTGCACAGCGCACTTGAATCCGACTCAGAGGTCTCAAAGTGACAGACGCTGCTAATAAAGCTGCTGTCGCCATGTGTGTCAATAATGTTAATCAAACATCAGAAAGAAAGTAATTTACTGCATTTGACTGAATTACTTTTGCAAAATTAACAAGAATGAATGTTGAATTTATAGTAAAAACCATGTATTGCATATTTGATTACTTTATATAATATAATATTATTCAGTGCTTTAAGTTTTTCATTGGTCGATTTATTGTGCCTTTGTTCTATTTTAATTTGTTACTCTTGTCATCAGTAGGCTAAGCTTGAGATTATTTTCTTAAGCTACTATTATTTTTGGTGATATTGAAATTGGTCACAATAATTATGAAATTTTAGTCAATACATTTTGATATGATAAAAAAAAATCGTGTTAAAAGTAACATAACTTAACTGTGAAGTATATCATAAATGGATAATTAATAATATCGTATATCGTATATGACTCGTATAATAATATAACATTTAGCTCATGTAGTTGGTGACCTAAAGTGGTGGGGGGGCCCTGCAGTAACTCATAGCCCCGGGGCCCAGTGAGCTCTTAATACGGCCCTGGTGTTCACTGATATGCTCACACAAAAATCGCTGCAAAAGATGCTTTCCAATTTAGGGGGACGTTCTGTAATGGTAATCTTATGGTCACATAACGTTTCAAAGAGGACATAATCAAAACGTTCTCATATGGGTCTAAGTTAGTCCTATTATAACCTTCCTTATAGGACTTAAAGGTTCTCTAAGCGATGTGGGGCCAAAACATTTTTTGTCACAAAATCAAACATCAAACGTCTCCTCACTATCGGCTAGCTGCCTGTCCCCTAAACACACTGTAAAAAAACGCGGTCTCTGTAGACACCACAGGCTCCACAAACGGCGACAAAAACAATCATATCTCACCCGGACCATGAAACCTAACAAACAGTGTTCCAGCCAATCACTGGCAAGAAGTATCTGAGGGTGGGTCTGGGGGGTTAGTGCGCGTGCATATGAAGGGTGTGTGTGTGTGTGAAGGAGAGAGAAGTATCATCAGAGGGAAGTTTGAAAAATGGCCGACACACGACCAAACAGACGTCGTTCTGAAGAACAAATTAAAAAGAAGGAGTCGGATAAAGAACGTGCGAAGTTCCGAATTTACATCGGTAGCAAAGCTTTTGAACGATGGCGAGATCTCCGGCGGCAGAAGGGCTTCCAGTCCGACATTCAGGTTGCTCTGTTTTTGCTGGACAGGTGGGTAACGTTAAAATGGTTTTTTTTATTCTAAATTGACGCTTATGTTCGCCAAACCCACACAAGGATATAATTAGCTAGAACTATGCAGTCAGCGAAATGCACGTTCACAATTACTTCAGGAAGCACGGAAGGGAGGGGGAGGAGATTAGATGCGGAGGAGGGAGGGTCTAGCTCCGATTTGTTTGAAAATATTCCGAACGTCAACACCCAGGATTGCTTAGACAACCTTTAAGGGGGACGTTCCGTAATGGTAATCTTATGGTCACATAATAACGTTACAAAGAGGACATAATCAAAACTTTCTCATATGGGTCTAAGTTGGTCATACAATGACGTTCTTTATGTGACTTTAGGGGGATGTTCCATGTTGGTTATTTTATGGTCACATAGCATAAAAGGGGGTGAACCTGCTAGTGTTGCGGAGCAGGCATGTAATTTTTTAGCAATCAAAAAGCATATCTAATTAATTGAAATCATGTATTATGAACATTTAAGAAAAAAATATATGTATGAAAAAAATTCCACACTAATTCTGTGTTGTGTTTTTGCTGGTAATAAAATTTTTTCATTTATCATAATTTTTTTGTAAAATAACATGCTGCACAATGACTGTTTAAATTAAAACATGGATTATTCCTTAAATTCAGTTTTGTTAAAAAAAAATCATAATTTATTTGGGTTAGTGTTAGTGTATTATTACATTAGGACATACCTAAATTCTACTGTACAACAGTAATATATTTCTGTCAAGTTAAACCGAACTCTTATTTTGACGGGTTGCCGCGAACACCTTTTCTCTGTGTTTATGTCATGATGAAAGTTTATCACAAAATGACTTTCAGAGTGGATCTAGAGCCTGGAGAGGAAGTTCATGCATTTCTGTCTTCATATAGGCAAAAAACAGCGCAAGCAATGCAAACAATGGTAGGGGAAACACTGTTTGTTTCAGAGTGTGGTTGGCTAAGACTTGGCTAAGACTTGACTTGATATGGACAGCAGCTACCAACACCTTGTGTTTCTCAAGAAAGAATCTTGCTGAAGATACAACCAAGTCTTGCTACTCTTTGGAAGAAACAGTTCACAACACTAGGTGTATATGAAGCTAACGTAAGCGTTACCCAGCTAGAAATTTTACGTTCCCTGAACGTTCTGAGAACGTCCCCGCTGGTGTCAAGGACGTTGCCTGGTAACGTTCCCACAATGTTCCCAGACAGTCACGATGTGGAGTTCTTTAAAGGGTTTGGCGACGTTATTTGTGAGAACGTCCTGCTGGTGTCAGGAACATCGCTTGGTAATGTTCCCTCAACGTTCCCAGAACGTCCTGAATGTTCCCTGAAGGTCCTCCAAATAACGTCCCCAAACCCTTTAAAGAACTCCACATCGTGTCTGTACATTGTGGGAACGTTACCATGCAACGTCCTTGACACCAGCGGGGACGTTCTCAGAACGTTCAGGGAACGTAAAATTTCTAGCTGGGTAGCTCTCTGCCCCTAATGGTCATTATTCATAGTCTCAAGACAGGGATAAAATGCTTTTTGAGGAGATGTTAAAATGTTTTTTTATGTGAACATTTTAAGAAAATTGTGTAAACTCATCTTTAAATGAACATGTTTTTGATTCAGTACACTGCTCTTATGATCATATTCAGGGTAAAGCCGAGCTGAGATGCCCTAAATGTGAAAAACAATGGTCTTACACTGAAGTCCGTACATTAGCCAAACTTACTCCTGAAGAACAGCAATACTTTGAGGAAAATCTTGCCAACAATGCTACTAGAAAGATAGTAGACATCAAGAATGTAAGTATTCTTCCTTTACATTTACTGAGTAGTCATAAAATAAATGTGGGGTAGGCAGTTTGTTTCATAAACACTTTTTGCATAAATAATGTTTGTCCAATAGACCATTTCACAAGATGTAAACAACACTTCCTGTTTCAGTTTTTTAACACTACATAAAAGCTGGGATAAAATACAACCAACAGAACATTTAAAACTGAATCAAAAAGTTAAACAAACATCTTTAAGATGTTTTCTTTACATGTGAAATAAAGAAAACAATTACAAACTGAAACAGGAAGTGCTTCTGGACCAGTGTTGTTTACATCTTGTGAAATGGTCTATACGAAGTCTACTTGCCTGTTAGTTAATGTATTTTCATAACTCCGTGCACTCTGCCCGCGCAGACATCACGCGTCATCAGTACGTTCCATAGGGCTAGGCAGAGTTGTAGACCGTCAACGAGAATCAGGCCATCTCTCATAAGACGCTTTGTTGAATCTGCTTTGGCTGTGGGCAACCTGTGTGTTCATGTGGTTTGAAGTAGCCATGACTTTTGGATAGCTCTGTGAAATGGCTTACTCTACCTTTAAACCCTCAGTGACCTCAATTATCATTTACATATATTTAAGGCTAAAACCATTACACAAAATTAGTTTTCTGCATCTGACCTTTGAACCCTTCTTAGGGTCATATTTTTATGTTAATATATGTCATATTTATAACTGACTTTTTCCTATAAGGGTAAATTACTTTTTGGAAAAACAACTATCTATTTTATATATATATATATATGTATATATATATATATATATATATATATATTCTGATAAAGGTACTGCTTTTCCTTTCTGTCTTCTATGAAACTTACTTACATAAACTTAAAACACAAGCAAAAAGGCTATTATACTGTCTGCCAGTAATGAGCAATAGTCCAGATACACAGGAAATATGTATAGTAATGTTCATTATTTTATAAGTTCTTTCTGTCTCTTCAGTGTCCTGGTTGTGACTGGATCATTGAGAGATCAGACTCATCTAATCTCAGTGTGCAATGCACCGTTTGCTCTGTTAAAAATAAAAAAACCTTTGAGTTCTGCTGGCAGTGTCTGAGAGAGTGGAAAGGTCCGCGTCCTCGATCTGATAGATGTGACAATGACGGCTGCAGCAACAAAGATCTGGATCTACTGAGAGATTGTGCTACTATTACTCTACCATCTGTAAACAACATTGAATGTCCAGCGGTTCGTGCTTGTCCAACATGTGGTTTGCTGATTAACCACAACACAGAGAAATGCAAAAATATTTTGTGCTCTCGGTGTAATAAAGAGTTTTGTTTTGTCTGTCTCAAGCTCACACCTGACTGTCGGAAGACAAGTAACTGGTTTATTCCCTGTTCAGATGGTGTGGCTCCACGACAAACTTCAATTCCGCTTTGGAGAGATGTCAAAAACCCTGTGGTTTTAACAAGCATGCCGAATCACATTATTACAGTCACGTCGAATCAAATTACAAGCACATTTCTTTTGATAGGTTGGATATGTTTAGCATATTTAGCTTATCTGTTTAATTTAATAGACTTAAAGTAAGTGTATAAAACTCATTGTGTATTTTTCATTGTCAAGATCTGTTATGCTGTGAAAGAAACCATAAGACTGTATATTAAGGTGATATTGGTGTTTACAGCCAATTTCCCTGCAGACATAAAAGTATTGACAGTGACAAATTTTCTTTTGCAAACTTTGCTACTTCAGCATTTGTACAGTATGTTCTTTTTTTTTTTTTTTTACATTTCTATGGTATTCTGAAAAAAAATCTTTAAGCATTAATATGGTTTAAATTTTCCAAAAACATTCAATATATGCAAAGAGTCAATAGATCTTCCAAATAGTCAGAAAGGAGCTTCAGAAAATAAGTGCGCACCGTCTTCTGCTTTCCAATCCTTGGAATTCCTGCAGAATTTCAGGATGTCCTTATTGTTTTCCTTGGAGAGAAGTGGCTTCTTTGATGCCCTTATTGACAACAGGCTGTTGTCCAAAAGTCTTGGCCGTCACTGTGTGTGCAGATGCTGCAAATATTGAGCAGTTCTGCACTGGTGGAGACATGATTATGTACAGTAGCTGATTCCTCAGGAGGAGAAGGTTTAACTGCAGTTGAACGTCTCTCCTTGAAGTTCTTGATGATCCGGTAAAGTGATTTATCCTGACTAGTACTCGTTCACTCTTTCCCATGTTCTGATATGATTAGTGAAATTATGTCAGCTGGTTGCATTTATGTTTCAATTATTTAAAAAAAAGCACCTGCATCATGCACAACAATCTAGAAACGTAGAAGTGCGAAATGTAGAAACGTACAACTGAAGCTGCGAATGTGCAAAACAGTAATGTGTCACTGTCAACACTTTTGGCCAGGGCTGTAAATTTTAGAACCAAACCAGCAGCTTCAACTTAACAGAAAGTTTATGGCTAGACTTTACTCCCATTAACAGTGCAGAAAAGTTCCTTTTTCCAACATAAATTCTTTTTCATCCCTTTTATTGTATGAAATCCTTATGTGGCAGTATCTTGTATTGTATGATCTTTTCTCTTGCTTCTTTAAAGGTGTCCTGAACTGCATTGTTTTTATTGTTTTATAATGTTTCCTGGTGCGCATTTATAATGTTAGTATTATGTTTACATCAAAAATACTCACAATTTAGAAATAAAAGGAATTTTTCCTAGCCTGATTTGAAAGCTCTGAAGGGGCGTGTCTGTGGTGAGACTTCTGTGTAAACGCCCACTGCTGTGATTGAGAATTATTAGGCTTTACAGGCGGTGGGCTGGCTATAGTCATCAGCCACGTTACATCATATGTTTACTTTTTCATACATTTTGCTTAGTAATTAGATGATCTGTCTCCTGATGGCATTTAGATTGCCTCTGGCTTGCTTAGTTGGGGATATTTAATATTCAACAACAATATTGATCTCATGCATTGACACTAAGAGAAGAACTGAACTGAGCTGGACGCGGCTGTGTATATAAATGAACTAAATGAATAACTAATGATTTTACAACTGAACTGAACCAACACTAATCTCACTTCAGCTGAACAATCACACTATTTTCCTTTAGAGCTGCTGTATGGACAAAATGAACTCAACTGAATAAACTGTTTAGAACAGACTTACAGTGTTTTCAATGGCATCTGCAGTAAAAATCTGTTTAAAGCTTCTAGATTCTAGTTTCTCAACTAGTGGGTCGCAGTATTAAATCAAAGTAACAATTAAAAAATGTAACTCTAAATGCTTTTCTGATGACCAAAAAGTACCAATGAATAAGCAGGTGTGTGTTAGCTGAGAAGGATTTGCATGCTGTAATGATGTTCATTCTATTCATCAAGAACAGTTTTCATGTTTCTTTACCAGTTCATGTTAGCATTGTGTATTTATCATGGTAAATGCTGTTTCTGTGATCCCAAATATTTTCTTACATTGAATATATATAGCAGTAGAAACTTATTTCAACATTTATTATTTTTACTATAATAATTCTGTCATCAATTGACAGTTCTGAGTATCAGTTTACAGATGTACACACTCTTCTAAAGGATCATTCACTACATTTTTTTTTTAAATCTCAAAGCTTGTCAAAACATTACAATAATATTGTTCTCTTATTAACACTAATGTGGACATATGAGGTGTTTTCTAAGTCTGAGTCCAAATTTCAGCTTGGTCTTTTTCCTGAGTTAAATAACAGTCATCCAGCTCTGTCAAAGCTTATTACATAATTAAAGGATTGAAATGGATTCAATGGAATAAAGAAAAAAAGTAAAATTGTAGATGAGTCAATCAATGAATCAATTACAACAATATTAAAATACTACTTTATTTTACAATATGCACAAATTCACTCGTCTAATTTGTCGAAAACACAAAACTTTTCTTGTCTTGTTACATTCAGTTATGAATTAAACGAATCATGTACATAATAAAATGGGTTCAATTAAAATAAAATAAAATTGTATTACATTTTTTTGAGTATTTTGCATCATTACTTTGGGTTATTAAACATTTCTATTGTAAAACAGTTGTCAAATATTAAATGTTTGGCTCCTTACATCTTACCAGGCACTTGTTCAAGGTAAAACTAAAATGTCATGTTGGAGTTCGTCTTCTGTGAACATTAAGACCCGTCTTCTTTGATTTGATTGGCCATCTCACTAATTTTGACAGTGACGAGCGCTGTAAGGCCACCGAGGTAAACCAAGCGGCAAGCAACATTCTAATCTGAAAGCTGCCTACCCGGAAGTGCGAAAAACTGCAATACATCTAAAATCCGCTAGAGGCCGGCCCCAAAAGGGAGCAAATATCCATAGACGTCATGATAAAATGTCCGTTTTCAAAGCATAAATTCATATGTTTACAGTTTGGTCCCAATGACTTCTATTGTATTTTCGGATAGGTTCCACGTGCCTGACAACTGTGAGAGGGGTGAATTTTTTTCTAACTCGTTAGTTTAGATCGTATTTAGATACAAAATGTATGACAAATAAGGGCGGTTAACTTTGACTGACAGCTGATAACGGGCTGCGCCGAGTGAATTTGACGTCTCGGCCATGATCTGACACAACACATCATACCACCTCTGTATCCTTTCTGAACATTTGTATTTTGTATTTCCCAAGATTTTCTAATATGGTGCCACCCATAGAGCATCACAGTCCCGCCCACAGCCCGAGAGAGCGCTGGTGCCGGAAGTAAATGTGGCTCCTGTACATCCAATGGCGCGGGGTCGTCTCTGAGGTGCGACCAATGAACTTAGCCCTACGTCATTACGCGATCTTCAGTCTTCACGCGCCTTCGCAGGGTTTCAGACACGTGACACGACTTCCACCAATCAGATGCATCACTGTGGGATTGTGGGTAATGAAGTACTTATCCAATACATCGCGAATAAAAGGGATTTATCTTAAAACAAGGTTAGTAACCCATGAACTTTTGGCATTTATATGAGCATATATAATCGCTTAGTACAGCCGTAGCTGGTTTTAAGTCTACCATGTATGGTTACGCTTTTATGGCTTATATCTCAAATGTCAATGGAGAAATTGTATTGAATTTTTACTTCCGCCACCGGCTGTGGGCGGGACTGTGATGCTCTATGCCCCCCATAAACAGCCTCAAACCCGTTCTTCAGAGAGTCTATGGGTGACGTCACAGATGCTTTGTCCATATTTTTTACAGTCTATGAGGTAAACCAGCCTAAATATGTAACTCAAAGATCAGCATTATCCAGTCAGATTCAAAGGTTTCATTTTTTCTGTTTTGAAATCTTTGCAGCAGAAGCTCCATGAAGCTACACTCGTTCACCATCTCTGTTTGAACATCTGAGAAGACGACTCTGATTCTAGACACAAACACAGTTCAACAACTTTAACAACACATTCTTCAGCTTTATACTTGTATCAGTAACATTCATTATGCACAATAAGTCTATTTTAAGGACTTTTTATAGTGAACATAAATCCCTCAGAATTGAGCTAGAATTCACTTCCATACTACAAGAGTTTGAATAAAAGATGAACAGCAATGAGACAAATGTGTTCTACAAATGATTCACATCTACAGTAATTGATATAAATGACATGCAGATTCTGTTTGGTTACCTGAGGGACTCTGTGTGCTGATCTCTGGACTGAAAAAAATGACAGAAACTCCACATCAAGAGGCTAAATTACATAACCAATTATCTTATTATAAGGTTTAATCCAGGAGCAGACTTTTAACTATAGTTAGTAAAACACTGAGATCTGCATTTGTGTGTTTGCATACACGAGAGCTTATTGATATACTGATGATTACTTTAACACAAGGAAAAGGAAATTGTTCAATTTACTCTCTTAATTCATGTTCTTGGTCTAGTTGTAAATGATTCATGATCTCTGAATGATTTCTTTTCTGCTATTGTAATTTATCAAATTAAAGTGACCCTTTTCCAACCATCCAATCAATACCCTTAGAAGAAAAATCATGCCAACAACCAACACTATGGAACATGATTTTATGTTGACTTTAAAAATCCCATGAAATCAGAAATGAAATGTGTAATTTTGCCTTTTATTTTATACTTCTAAATGAAATTGGAGTCTGCTAGTGTTTTGTCCTGTGAAATACTAAAATGACGAGGTACTCTGTCCCTCCTAAGGAGGCTCAGTGTGTCACACGAGAAGGGTTCAATTGTTTTAATCACTTTACACATAAATCGTTTGCTTTAGTAAATATTAGCAGAATTATAAACAATAACAATATTCTCTATCTTCTGCTTTCACGGATGTGTCTTTTGTGAACTTCATCTGCAGCTTCTTCTGTCACTTTCAAATGAAGATATGTTTACTATTTGGAAATTACATCCAGTTTGATAACATATACAGTTTTGTTAATTATTATTGTATTGCATTTTAACATATACTGTACATGTTTTTTTTAGTTCAGCTCACATGCAGTCAGCGATATTTATGTTAACTTCAGGTGTAGCACTAAATAAAATACTCACCTTTTCTGTACATCAGTAGGTACGCAGAATTAGAGCTGTGTATAAGAAATATTTATATGAGTATTTGATACATAAGTCCAAACATATTGCATTTACTGCCAGATATTCTACTGAAACATTTTCCTTAATCTTCTGTGGCAGAATCGTTTTTATTGGAGGAGACGTATGCATTTATCAGTCTTCACGCGGCAATTTACTTTTAATAATCCTTTAAATTACTCTTTTAATGAATGAATATAGGGGATATTTTGTGATTTATAATGTAAGAATATTACCAGGCATCGATCCATTGAGCTTCTTTTGCAATCTTTTGGGGAATGTAGAGGGAAAATTACTTGATAAAGTAGTAAATCATGTGACAAAAAGGACTAAAATATACAATGTACTGTTTTTTCAACAATAGTCATTTCTAATAGTCCTCCTGTAGTGAAATATTCCAGATATCAGAACCTCACCTTTGTAACTGTGCGATCATTAAAACGATAAAAGTTTCCTCTCTCATCTTTAATGACCGCATCATAATGACCGCTAATGTATGAGCCGTGATGATTAATGACAGCATACAGATCATACTGTGGAGAAGACTCGTCCATTACTGAATCAACCTGGTGAGGACAGAGAACATTGTGTTACACTGTTAGGATTGTGGTTTATAATGGAAGTATGCAGAGATTTACATTTCTTTATTTAGCAGTATGCAAAGTGACTTAACAATGAGGAGCATCATATGTATGTTTTCATATAAGCATCAACAATATTCACAGCAATAATAAAGTTTCAACAGTAAGATATGGTACTGTTGTCACCCCAAAGAAAGCAAGAACAGAGAAGAAAAAAAAGAGTGTATTTGTGTTGTCATGAAATGTATTTTAAATAACTGATTTTATTATTTTGTACCTGAAGATTTGGAGGAATCTTAACGTAGCATTCATTTTTCCAGTAGTAAAGCTTATTTCCGATGAAGCCCATCTCAAATCTCTTCAGCTGCAGAGTCAAAATGTCTGGCCACTTTTGAATATCATTTCTCTGAAAATAAAATAAAAAGGTAATTCTTTCTAATGCACAGATTACATATCCTTGAATTATTATGAATATGAACTATACTTCAACTGCTACAAGTAAGCTGTATCAATATACTTTTTTGTTGAAATTACAAATTTGAAGACTTGTAACTACTCAAAATGCCATGTACAAGATTTGCATGTAAATATAAATTCATGAAAGCAAATCGAACCAGACAAATTACAAAAGAAACGAGATATGAGTAAGAAGAGTGGATTGAGCTTTTAATTCGACAGATCCAAGATCCCATTCTTCTACATGTAACATATTCATAGTGTTTGTTTTAAAGAAAAATGAAGAAAATATGAAACCTATCTGTTATTTAATAGACCTATAATTCAAAACTGTGATGGTGAGTGGCACGTTTAAGCGCAACCTATGTTTTCCTCTCCTTTCCTGGACCATGGACGACACATTTACTGATCAGCAGGTTCAGTCTGGTTAGGGTTAGGAGTGGGCTTCAGGAATACAGACACTTTATCCACTTAGTGCAAATAGCCTCTACTAAAAATGTAAGTAACCAAAACCTCTTTTATCAGCGACATAATTTGTGAGTAGATATTGGCCTTGTTTCAAAGACAGGGTTTAGATTTAGCCAGGATTAGGCATTTCAGTAGGTTTTATAAACTTGCCTTTGAAAAAAAAAAATACTAGTGTGTGCATCCTGAGACAAAACAATAGCAGTGACATATTTTAAAATATGCTTTCAGTTAAAACAGCACAAACATGCATTTTAGTCAGAGACTAGGCTTAAGCCTTGTCTGTGAAACCGGGGGAACATTATCAAAGCTAATAATACTTGCCGTTTCCATGTCTCTCATTGAATCACAGGCAACACAGTATAGCTGATCATCACCGCTCATGTCATGGATTCCCAAATACTCCATCAAAGCATATTTCTAAAATGATAAATGAAGTTTAAAGTTTAAACAGTTTACCATTGAGTGAAAATTGTAACTAGATTAAACACTGTAACTGGAGTGACAGATCTTTGTCCCATCACAGTTCCTCTGTAATCTCACACATCCTCAGGCCTGAAATGCACATGCTGATGATTTATTTTATTTCCACTGATGATAGTTTGTGTCGGTCAGTTTCTCTTACCACATCACAATGTCCTCTGGCATCAATCAACAGAGGTATTGACAAAAAATCTGTCTCTTCTTCATTGTTGTGTTTGCAGTAAGAACACACTGTAGATGTCACCATGACTCCTCTGAAAATCTAGGATTAAACAGATTATCACAGCCAAGAGTGAATATTTTTACATTCTACATTTACAGCATATCTTTAATAAATAAGAGTCTGAAATTACCTCTGATGGCTCAGGTACTCTGTGTAATATCATCTGCAGATATTCTGCTGCATCTTGCTGCTCAGAAACTAAGTGAGGAAAACAAAACGATGTAAAATACTCACAACTAAATGAAAATTATGATTGTGAAATATAATAATTTGCATTCTTTTTTTTTTTCAGTAGTGAAGTTTATTTCGGATGAATCTTCGGCCCATCTCAAATCTCTTCAGCTGCAGAGACGAAAAGTGACACACGCAGCTCTTTTTCTTCCCTTAGGTTAGAAAAAGAGCTGGTTAAATGACAACAAAAGCAGCTTTGATATGAAGAACTGAAACCAGTGAAACCAAAGGACTTTACTCCACTGTTCATCTGTAGTTTTTGCTCCACAAATTGATCGATCGGCTGATTCACTGCTTTCATCATCATTCGTCACCTACTACCTTAATAATAATTTAGCAACAGGAGGATGTAAAGTGATGTACGCAAAAAAGCACAGAGTTTAGTGAATAAAATGCAAACTGTAAGGATCCTAATATCCATTGAAATGAAGACGTGTTTGAAATTAAATGAATGACAATGACTTCACTTAAAACGAAGGAACAGAGCTTTTTTAGGCACCTGCTTAAACTAGTTTAGCGAATAAGACCTGCTTTTTGCACTAAATATATGCACAAAGTTAGAGTTTCTGCAGGTATTAAGTAAATTTAAGACTCTTTAAATACCTTTTTAAGAACTAGTATATTTAAGAAATAAATTGAAGGGAAAACAACATGTAGATGTTTTCTAAATGTAGATGTCTAGGGAGAAACTTCAAAAGCCAAAATTTGGAAATACAACTTATAACAGACATCCATTCCTTTTCCAATTCATTTTACAAAAATAAATAAATTTAAGCATAAACTAACTAGATTTAAAGGAGAACTCCGGCTCACAATGAACCTTTGGTCTAATAAAACATCGGTACCTAGTCAATCGTTCTCTGAGATTTGTTTTCATGATAATCGAATGTAAAGAGTTTTATCTCTAAAATCTGTTTAGCGTATAATGTTAGTAATGGGGGCATTTACTAAGTGAAAAGAAATGGCTAGTTTATACCACTAACAAGACTCAGAATAGCCTCACACTAACACAGTAACACAATGAGGCTCCATACATACAAAACGAAGCATTGAGAACTTTGTAAGTGTACAGACCGTTTAATAAGAAGATACTTTATGAAGACAGTTCACTTCGCGTATACAGACAGGAGCCATCTTGGAAAATAGTCTCTATAAGTCGATCCCCGAACGCCGTTCATACAGTTCAGATCACTCAGCACGGCGTTTGTGGTTTGACTTATCGAGACTGTTTTCCAAGATGGCACATGCCTGTATACACGAAGTGAACTGTCTTTATAAAATATCTTCTTATTAAATATAAGAATATTACATTCTATATAAAATATCTTTTCATTCCGTCCTTCGGATGAGACGTTAAACTGAGGTCCTGACTCTCTGTGGTCACAAAAAATCCCAGGATGTCTTTTGAAAGAGTAGGGGTGTGACCCCGGCATCCTGGCCAAATTTGCCCAGTGGCCTCTGTCCATCATGGCCCCCTAATCATCCCCATTCATCACTGTCTCCTCTCCACCAGTAAGCTGGTGTGTGGTGAGCGTTCTGGCGCAATATGGCAGCCGTCGCATCATCCAGGTGGAGCTGCACACTGGTGGTGGTTGAGGAGATTCCTCTATCTATGTGAAGCGCTTTGAGTGCCGAGAAAAGTGCTATATAAATGTAATGAATTATTATTATTATTAAATAATATTATGAATATTATTTAATAAATGTTATTTAATATTATGAATATTATATAATAAATGTTATAAATAAATAAATAAATATAATATAATAATATAATAAATTATTTAATAAATATTATTTAATATTATGAATATTATATAATAAATGTCTATTATTTGATAGACATTCTGGGCACCCAATAAACTGTGCCGGGCATTCGTAAACCACGCCTCAAATACGAGAAAATGAACATGTCGTTCCCTGACCCAAGTCTCAATGAGAATTGGGTCTGGTGTTAGCCAGGCTAGCTAAGACCCACAGAAACCCTGAAAATTGTGTTTAATAAATTTGCCCCAAAGACTTAAAAAAAAGGACCAACCATTTGTGATGTTTAGAGCTTTTGTGACCTCCTCTGGGCAAACAGCTGTTGGATCCTGCAATAATCTCCTGAATAAATCAGCCAGCGCCTTTAGTAGGTTTTCCCCTGAGGATTTACTGGTGACTTCATTCCTCAATCTAAACACAAAGTTCAATGATCAATAAAATAATTACATTGGACACAAGAATATGATAATCTTTTATGAAAATAATATAGTGAAATAATAGATAATGAAAATGCATAAAGTGTGTTTCCCACATCAGCACATGCTCCCTAAATCTGTCTGTCCTGAAGAGCGTCTGAAGAACTGCATTCAAGTAGCCGGTCATTCCTTGATTGATCAAACCACATGGATCTGAAATCAGAGTGATATGACAAGTCTTTGATATATGGGAACCTAATCTATGCAGCCAAACGATGAGTTATAGTTGATCATGTATTATGTGAATGCTAGGTCAAAGAGATATGTTTTTAGCCTAGCTTTAGAACTGACAGATTGCGTCTGCTTCCCGGACAATGTTTGGAAGATTGTTCCAGAGTTTTGGTGCTAAATAGGAAAAGGATCTCCCGCCTGCAGTCGATTTTGATATTCTAGGTATTATCAACTGGCCCGAGTTTTGAGATCGCAATAGATGTGGTGAAGGACTATAATGCGTTAAGAGCTCGCTCAAGTACTGCGGAGCAAAACCATTCAGTGCTTTATAAGTAATCAGCAATATTTTAAAATTTATACAACTAGTGCAAAGTGCCCGTGCAAAATCAGTTTTTGTGTGTTTTTAGTAATTGTTGGTTTAGTGTGTTTGAGTGCTCATTGTTACAATTACACAGCAAAAGTTCAGTGACATTTTTATTTGTGCGTAGCTAATCCAAACAACTCGGCACTGCACCCGTAGCAAGACACCCGTCAAGTCTGAAATCCATCAGACTAACACACACACACACACACACACACACACAGACACACAGACAGACAGATGTTCCTGTAATTTATAGATAGATAGATAGATAGATAGATAGATAGATAGATAGATAGATAGATAGATAGATAGATAGATAGATAGATAGATAGATAGATAGATAGATAGATAGATAGATAGATAGATAGATAGATAGATAGATTCAGGGAGCAAATCTGCTTTCTTCGTCCCTCTGTCTCTGGTCCTGCGCTGTGCTCAGTCAGTGTGCAGTGTGAGAGGGGGAGTGGCCAGCGGCTAGAGTAGCAAAAGCCAATGTGTGCTTCTTTTAGCGATATATTTAGCGATGTCTTTTGCATTTCTAATCCAAATAACTTCAAACTCAGCACTGCACTTACTCATGCCCGTAGCAAGACACTTGTGAAGTTTGAGATCCATCGGACTAACGGTTCGAGAGATATGCGATTAACAGACAGACACACAGACAGACAGACGTAATTTATAGATAGATGTTTAATAGTCAGCCAATGCAAGGTTAACAGAACCGGGCTAATATGGTCATACTCCTGGTTCTGGTAAGAACTCGAGCGGCTGCGTTTTGGACTAGCTGAAGTTTGTTTATTAAAAAGACACTCCACCCATTTGCATTAATATTTCCATAGTTAGATCCAGTCATACTATTGAATGGTCGTGCAACACTCTCATTTTCCCCTGAGACGAGAGAAATCTGCAACATGACATCATGACTTTTGCGTAAACATACACGCCAATTTCGAGTCAAGTGGCGTGTTATCTCGACGCATTTTGAGCTATCCGCGTGTATCCGCGTGTATGCGTGTTTGTCTACGCCATTAACGTCCGCGTCATTCCGCGTGTCCGTACACGCCGTCAAATGTCCGACCAAAACAAAGCAAAATGTATGGAAAAATGCGGAAATGGAACAATGCGGAATGCTAGACACATGACTTTCAAATGAAAGATTGCTATCAAAGAGCACACATACTCCCTCATCCCCCCTCCCCCGCCCACACCCAGGTTCCTAACCAAAAACGACTTGACAGAGCAGCCATCAAGTGTTAGACAGTATTCTAGGTTATTACGTGAAGAAGTTTTTTTGTCCAATAATTAGAATCTCTGTTTTTTCAGAATTTAGTAGGAAATTACTAGTCATCCAGTTTTTTTATATCAGCTATGCATTCCGCTAATTTTGTGAATTGTTTCGTTAGGGCGTGAAGAAATATACAGCTGAGCATCATCGGCATAACAGTGAAAACTAATGGCATGCTTCCTAATAATATCTCCTAAGGTTAGCACGTACAGGGTGTGTGTGTGTGGCTTGTACAGAGTGAAACGGTCCTAGTACTGAGCCTTGTGGTACGCCATACTGAACTTGTGATCGATAAGACATCTCTTCATTTACTGCTACAAACTGATAACGGTCAGATAAGTATGATTTAAACCATGATAATGCAGTTCAACAAATGCCAACATATTTTTTGAGTCTATTTAAAAGAATGTTGTGGTCAATTGTGTCAAATGCAGCACTAAGATCGAGTAACACTAATAGAGAGATACAACCACGATCAGATGATAAGAGCAAATCATTTGTGACTCTAATGAGAGCTGTCTCGGTACTATGATGTGGTCTAAATCCTGATTGAAAGTCCTCGCAGATATCATTTCTTTCAAGAAAGGAACACGGTTGTGAGGATACTGCTTTTTCCAGTATCTTTGACAGAAAAGGCAGATTCGAGATTGGCCTGTAATTGACTAATCCTGTAGGATCAAGTTGCGTTTTTAACAAGCGGTTTTATCATAGCCAGCTTAAAGGTTTTTGGTACGTATCCTAGCGACAAAGATGAATTAATGATATTAAGAAGAGGATCTATATGACCTCTGGAAGCATCTCTTTCAGTAGTTTAGTCGGTATAGGGTCTAGCATACAAGTTGTTGATTTAGATATAGCAGCAAATGAACCAAATCTTTCCTCAGGGAGACAACAGTGCACCCCCTGATGCGATACTGTAGTACACAGTTGCATAGTTATAATTTTGTCCCTGATATCATCAATCTTATAAGTGAAGAAATTCGTAAAGTCATTACTGCTGTGTTGCTTGGACACTTCTGTACTTGAAACTTTCTTTTTCGTTAGTTTAGCCACTGTTTCAAATAAATACCTAGGATTATGTTTATTTTCTTCTAATAGGGTTAAAAAATAAGCAGATCTAGTAGTTTTAAGGCCTCTAAGCAATCAAGCTCTCTTTCCATGAAATCTGGAATACCTCTAGTTTAGTTTTCTTCCAGCTGCGCTCCATTTTAGTCAAGAGATGAATTAACCAACTTGTTATGAGGAATGATTCACGTTCAAAACAATGTGATAAAAAGAAGAAGAAAAAAAGACCATTCAGACATCATTTACTCCTTCGTGTTTAAAACTATATGACTTTCTTTTTTTTTGTGGAACTTGAAGATATTTTTTGCCTTCTTTTGTTTTGTTCCTGTGATGAAATGTGACTTGATGTTGTTCAGTTCCCAACACTCTTCCAAATATCTTCTTTTATGTTCCACAGAAGAAAGAGAGCAATGCAGGTTTGGCATGGATGAGTAAATGATGACAAGATGATCATTTTGTGGTGAACCATCCGTTTATGCTTTACTGACAGCATTTGTGGATTAATTGTGAAGCAAAAAGACTCAAACATTATAGATTATGTGTTCCTATGAGACTTGTGCCACATACATATGTATAAAAGTTATATTCAATCTACCAAAGTAGTGCACCACTAACCCACTTGAATAAATGTTTGTATTAAGGGTGTAACAATCTATCATGTCACAATATATCACAATAAAATAATGCAACAACATGTATCATGGATAGTGACAATATGTATTGTTTATAGTTTACCCAAGGCAGAAAAAAATTTTGTTTAAGAGTTTTAGTGTCAGTACTACATTAAACTACTATATAAATTGTTGAATTTAATGTGTAATAATACAATGGGAGAATATTTGTGTGTACTGATAATGCCAGATGTCTGATTTTACTAGTAAAAAGTGGCCTACATTATTTTCAATATATCTAGTCAGTGACAGAGTCAAAGCATTTTCGTCTAAAAATAATTCTGTTTTCAGCTTCAGAATCATAAACATTGTTCCCTATCGAGGGAACTCAACACTGCGTCGATAAAATCAACTCTTTGGGGACGATCCCTAAGCGTGCGCCTCTGAAGTATGAATGAAACTAATCCAATCCTGATTGGTGTTGTGTCGTGACGTAACATGTGACGGCATACCCGGAAGTATAAAAGTGACGCTGTCACAACACACGCTAGCTTTCGGTCTTCAGCAAGCGCTACATGTGAAACTGTCTGTCTTATTTGGTGTTGTTTGTCTATTATCTAAGAAAAAAAAGATTATGGCCAGTGAACAATTCAAAAGGTGTGTGCATCCCTGCCCTCGTTACATCACGGGTGGGGACGCACACTCTCTTTGTGTGAGTTGTTTGGGAGTGCAGCACGCACAGGCAGCTCTCGAGGGGGCTGCTTGTGAACATTGTGAGGCTATGCCTATGAGAGTGCTGCGCTCCCGGCTGGCGTGCTTTGACGAGCACGGTCAGGCTTGCGTTCCCCAGGGTTCCGGTCCCGCATTCGTCGAGGCGATGCGGCGATTGAGATCCTGGGGTTCGCAGCGGGATCTGGCAGAGGAGAGTGAGAATGCTGAGGCATTTTCTCGCTCTCCATCGGCTGATCCCGCGGCCTCTGAGAGTGGTGTGGGAGCCCGCGCTGTGGTTTCTCCTGCCCACGATCAGGTCCCGATGCTTGAGCTGTCTACTTCTGAGGACTTCTGGGGAAAGACCGCACTCGTCCCGTGTTTCGAGTCCCAGCTTAATAGATTACAGCAGTGTTGTGGGGGCTCGAGACATGGGATATGGGAAGATGCCGAAGGTGGAAGAGGCTTTAGCGAGCTATCTCTCTTCCGAATCGGCGTCTTCCCTAAAGACCCCGGTGTTGCCTAGTAAGCCCTGCAGGGAAACATCTGCATTGGTGGGCAGGGCTTACATGGCGGCAGGTCGGGCTGGCTCATGTCTGCACTCGATGGCGATTTTGTAGGCATACCAGGCCGACCTCCTGGAAGATTTGGATGAGGGGGAGGGGCCTACTCCTAAAGACATCTCGGAGTTGAGGAAGGCCACAGATTTGTCTCTCCGGGCCACTAGGGAAACAGCCCGTGCTATTGGCCGCTCTATGGCCGCCATGGTGGCCACGGAGAGGCATCTGTGGCTAAACCTATCGAGTATAAAAGAAAAAGATAGGTCCTTCTTGCTGGATGCGCCGCTTTCGGCTTCTGGCCTGTTCGGCGACGCTGTTAATTCGGTCGACGACAGGTTTCAGGAGTCGAAAAAACAATCTGCAGCGTTCCAGCAGTACCTCCCCCGAAA